GACTGAGATGTGAAGGGCCTTGATGTGGCTCTTGCTGAGTGTTTACTGGTCTAGTCGACTAGCAGATGAGTGCTTTTTAATCACAGCATTATTTCATATGAAAAGCTTAAATGATCCATATTTCTAAATGATGAATATTTGCTCTGGTTAATCTGTCCCTTATGTAAAACCCGGTTTAAAATGCACAGTGGGGTCCACAAGTCTGAGGCCACATCTGAAATCAATTGCATTTTCAGGTAAACCTGCAAGTAATCTCAAAGTTTGAGTGTTTTGAATCATTTAAAAACACAAGTTCTAACATGTCAAATGAAGAATGAATATTTCGGACTCTTTCTGAACTCTGTCTAGGTCAGCAGTCAAACTGAAGCAGATGAGTAACAGTGACCTTGTCAACCTCGATATCAGATTTCCTTAAGTTGTACATTGATGCAGCATTCAGATGACACTCAGGTGGATTTCTTGACTCATCAGAGGTTCGTTCAACTAAATCAACCTGCAGCTGTTGTTGATCTGTTAGAAATATGACAAGTTTCCAGCACGTTAAATAGCATTGTGACAGGAGAGGGAAAAAAGTATCAGAACTCAGTGGGAGCCTCAGTTTTAAATCATGGCTAGACTGAAGATTTCAAAAGGCAGTGTGTAACGCTCTGAAACACTTTGGTGAAAGTGTTTCATCCAAAGCTGGATCAGACACCACAGTGAGCTCACCGTGAGGAAATCAATTGCATCGAGCTCTGTTCACTGAGATTTTGCTAAATCTGCTAAAGTTCTGTTAAAAGTAGGCTGTCTGGTAACGTCTCAGAGGACGAGGAGGGTCTCTAGACCACTTCTCAGGAGGGGAAACAAGGACAAACTCTTTGGGGGTGCTACGACGGAGCAGCATTTCACAGTGGATGATGGAAAAAGTCCTGTTGACTGAAGAATCTAACTTAGAACTTAGACCAGCAGGAGAAAGAAATGATACCACAGTGGGTCCAACCCACAATGAAACACGCTGCTGGGAATACTCAACTCCAAATCGACTTAGTTAGTAGTGATTGGTAACAAAGAATATTGTTCTAAATCCAAAACAAAGAACAAAATAGAAGTATCTTCACTCGTGCTCTCAGACTTTTGATGACCGCTGTATGCATTCCACAGAAAGACTTGAAAACCTGTGAAGAAAAAGCTCAAACCAGAGCCTTGTTGAAAGACTGTATCAATCAGAAACCTTTTTATCAACCTCCTTGGACGAGACACACGTTATTTTCCCTTCCCAGACTGACTATTATATTTACAATAATAAACCACATTGCTGAGCTGTGGCTACATCGAGGTGATCAACATCAAAAAGGCAGAAACCACGATAAAGTATCTCTAACTTCAACTCTACCACACACATACTGTGCTGGTACAAGGGTCTGTCTAGGATATTTTCTTTGAGTAATCCATTTATTCTTCACCTCAAAAAGAATACAAATGCTGCCCTCATGTGGCCACAAATGATACGGCAAAAACCCAGAAAATAGTGAGCTTCTATGTCTCCTCAGTGGGACATTATTATAATTCTGATGTACCTTTATTCTCTGCTCAACGTTGTGGACAGCTTAAAAGAAATAAACAGGTCACACAGGTCCTGGGTATTGTTGACTGGCCGGCTATATTCAGTGGGAAATTGGATTTACATTGAGCTTGACCTGGAGCCATGCCACAGGTTGCTTGGAAAGTTTACCAGGTCATTGACCGGAGGTGTTAAGTGAGAAAGCCTCTCTGGCTCACACACACAAAGAAGTGAGCCAGAAGCCTTTAAAGGCACAGCAGGCTGTTTGTGTGTCCAACATACAGGAGAGTCAAGAAGCACTGGAAAGTCTGAAAACAAGTTAGTGTGAATGAATCTATCACACTGATTTTCCAGCAGCAGGTTTTGGAATAAACTGTATTTTATGAAGAAGCGAGCTGGCATGGCATGAAAAGTAACTGCCACTGTGGTTGAATGGGCAAAGAAAAGACAAACCACCTGCAGAAAATGTCAAAAATGCAGCTGTATAAATAAAGGAATATTGTGCACTGCTATGAAAAAGTTATTTTTCTTATTGCTTTAGTGCAAGACATGTGTGCAACATCTGCACACGAGCATCGACATCTTAGAGGAGACAGTGGTTGCACAGAATGACATCATTGAAACTGGATGCCTCACTTACACCAATTATACCTGACATGCTCTCCCTCTTCACAGCTCTCTGTCTCCGTCTCGCCGACAAAGTTTCTTGAAAATGTCTGGTTGTTATGTGTTTGCTTGAAATTTCAGCACATGCAACTCCAGACCCAGTGTCAATAAAAATAAAAAGAATAATGGAGTTCTTCTCTTGTGTGACTGTATTATGCTACAGTACATTATCATAAAAAAGGACAGGCTTCTGTGTTAATCACAATCCTTGGTGTTTGATTTGTATACGTGCCTACACCGTGCAACTCTGGGATATAAAAGTCATAGTTAAAGACTCCTTACAGTTTCCAGAAGCTGCCATCTAGCCGAGACATAATTTAAGGTGCTCCAAAAGATGGTGAGTGTGCAGTCTTACGTGTAGGATCTACAATAGAGCTAAAGTTTCCTTGGTGCTGAAGAAAAGTGATGCAGGAAATAATGCAGTGTGTTTGAGTAAGCAGACAGCCAAAGTCAGGACAATATTTTGGATAATTAGTCCATGATCAGTGCATCAATTGTGCAACAGTTAGTCTTTTTTTAGAAATGGCTTAATAATGATCCGATGAAGCGTGTACCACAAGAACATCTGCCATATCCTGCCATGCCCAGCTGAACGCTTCATGATATGTTGCAAGTGGTGCACAGCAGTACTCACTATTCAAGTGCAAATGTGAGGTCCGGGAAAAAGTGTAGTTTTGACCATTCATTACTGAACAAAGGAGCATTTTACATACAAAACATACAGCAGCGTGAGGCTATAAATTCATAGATTATCCTACATAAAGGTATATCAAATATTTAAAGTAAGAAAGTAGAATATCAAAAGGAAAATGATGCTTATACAGTCAGACATCAATAATAATAATAATCCACTGTACAACACCATGTGTGCACTTTTATTACATTGAGTACTTTTGTTACTTTAAATTTGTACAATTGATTTTATTGGCTCAGGACTTTTGCTTGTAACAGTGTGTTCCTGCCATGTGGGTCTGAACACTTTTTCCAACATTGCATGTATAAATTATGGCTTAAAGAGAGGGTGAGTAGCTGGAATAACATGCTTCAGTTTCACCTTGTCAGCAGCGTGGCCTGACTGAGTTACTACAGACCCTTTTCTCAGTGTGCATTTTGAGCAGTCAAAGCAGGAAAAGAACAGATGTGACTGATTAACTTGTTAATGATGTCTGATTTCCATGTATGTGTCCCAGCAAGGCATGTCAGCCAGGCTACGGGCCTGAATGAAAATCATTTACCATGAATAGTATTTCTAATTACACGTAGGTCTCTCATCCTGTGGAAAGTCAGTATGTCTGCTGTAAAAGAAAAACGTAAAAAAAAAACTGACTATTTAAACTGAAATTAACTTATTAATTACTTAACCAAGAAAACCAAGTGTATGAAACACCAAATACATAATAAAAGAAAAATGCAAAGGATACAAACAACAAAAAACAAAAAATAAGCAACATTGTCAGTTTATAAGCACAGATATGTATTCAATTTAATTGTTAACTTTTTGCAGGAAACATGCACAGTTAGAAGTAAATACAATAAATACAAGGGAGCCATCGGTGGTGAGTGACAGTTTTGTTGCCAAACCTTGAGGCTGATTTTCAGCACTTCAAAACGTCCTGAGACTCTGATAATTATGGAGATGCAATTCTACTTCTCCACTACTTTAACTGAGAAAACAAACTGACCAAAAGCTGCCTCTAGTAGATGCTCTAGTCCTGAATGCACTGCCAATGCCTGGGAGGAGGGTCGCAAGATCGTGAATAACTTCAAACATCAGACATACGACTAAAAAAAACGTCAAAGTCAAATAAAAAGATAAAAGTCAAAATTGAGGAAAGTGTATTCTTTTAGGACATTGCCGTGATGATAGAGTCAGGAACAGCTTCTTCCTCAAAGCTGTCATCACACTCAACTTTAACCTGCACCGAACTGTGAATGCAACTGTTTCACGTCTATGTATATAAAATCTACCTCACACGGTTGTCATAATAACCACCTCAACTACCAAACTGCTATGGCAATTGTTTTTAAATCATGTTCATGCTCATCAAGTCTTAATAATATATGTCTTGTATGTCTTATAATGTATATTGCACCTCGGGAACAGCTCTTTAAATTTCATTGTACTTGTACAATAACAATAAAGATTTTCTATTCTATTCTATTCTATTCTATTCGGTGATGATGTCTTGGCTGTTAGTTTACAGGTCCCATCATGTTTTTTAAAAAATGTATTTCTGTTGAACCACAATTCAAAAGCAATGTCATGAATTTCTTTAATTTTTAAAAATTTATTATTGCTTTTGTCAATTTCAGCTTATTTCAGTGACAGCTGTTTTTTTTCCCGTTTTTTAATGGGAGGGCATAAATGTATTTATTTTATTTTTTTCTTTTTATTGAAACTGGATGCTGGTACAAAATACATTTCACTGCACATTGTACCCTGTATACCTAAATGTGTATGTGACAAACAAAGCTTGAATCTTGAATCTTGAATTTGAGGACGACTGTAATGTTGCTGGTGAGCTTTAGTTTTTCGAAAGACAGGGTTTATTTTGTCACATATATTTAACATGTGTGAACTGTGTGATAACTTCACTACTAAGTCATTCACATAACATGTGGCAGTAGCTGGATGTGAGCGTAGCTTGTTGCAGTAAACACAGAGCTGGTGTGGCTTTAACTCTCGGCCCCGCCTCCTCGCACGGAGCGTGACGTCACCCGGCGGCTCAGCCAATCCCAGAGCTTTACGCCGGGGCTGAAGCAGAGCTGTGTGTGTCCGTGTTAGCCGCTGTGCATTTGCTTGTGTGTATGTGTGTGAGTGTGCGTGTGTGCGTGTCTGAAACAAGTTGATATTATTATTATTATTTTATTTTTTATTTTTGCACCACATTTTTGAATTAAGCTCCGGAAGTAAGTGTCGGTTGAGTTGAGTCGCCACAAGGAAAAAAAAAGAAAAAAAAAAAAACAGCAGACTTTTCCAACGTAAGACTCTAATGAACTCGAAAATATCAAGTTTGCTCCGTCCAGCCTTTGAAAACAAGCTACGCAGTTTTTACCTATTTCGTTTTTTCTTTTTTTTTCAAATCGACACCAGCTAACTCGGAGCTAAGAGGCTGCTCACGGCGGTGTTATTTTGTTTTTTTGCTGGTTTGAAGTCAAGTGTGCCTTGTTTTAAAACGTGTAAATGTTAGCTAATGAAGTAACCGTCACATAAGAGGCAGTGATACAGACGGAGCTGATTGTAGGGGATAAGCCATAAAGTACTCGAGAGAAAATGCTAAAGACGCTCACGAAGAAGCTCAGAAGACATTCACTCAATGAGATTCATCCTTTCCAACTGAAGGTAAGTTTGACTGAGTTACTACTCGCATACTTGCAATTAAAACACAGCTGTCAGTACGCTTAAATGGCACTAAAACACATATACAGAGCAGCTAAGACAGAAACTAGCTTGCCTCTGAAGTGCGTGGCTTTACTCCAGTCTTGTGACTTGCTTAAACATTACGAGGACTGTTGAGTTCACTAACATTGCCCTTCTTTCTCTTTCTCTTTCTCACACACACACAGTCCAACATAGTGTTCAGCCTCTGTGGAAATATTCACTTTGTGTTCTTTGCTATCTTGGAGGCACTCTCCTGCTTCTGAGCCCATTCATAACCATGTTAGGATGAATTCACTCTTCATGGGCTGCACATGAAGAAAGCCAAAGATCCTACACTGCTGCATGTCAACACATTCTTCCACTCGCAGATGGACACTCATTGACTCATAAACTGTAGTTCATCTGTTTGTCATTTGAGGAAACAGGGAGTAATGTGTCCGCACTCATTGGCCTCGCTTCTCTTGTGTGTCAGAGGGGATAATCTGTTTTGAGTGCCACATTCATACCCTTGTCCAGGTTTTTCTTCTTACAGGGAGACGGCCTATGTTGTTCTGGTGAGAAAGAGGGACTGGTAATGGAAGCTCATTTAGATGCATAGAAATACTATAAAAAAAACAAACATGTCAGTATAATTGTTCCGAACTATAATCGTCCCAACGTGCACATCTTTACCCTCCAATTTTCCACAACAGAACCCTCCTCAGTTGTTACTGCCTGCTCAGTTTGCATAATGCCTCTTTTTTTTTTTGGTGAGTAGAAGGGTGAATTGTATCCCGCATGGGTCACTAACTTGCCCCATCCACAACACTATTGTGCGTCAACCAACTGTATAGTCGCATGGCAGCCATTTTGTGCCAAAGTGCTCCCGTTCAAAGGGCCTGGCGGTGGACACAAGGGAAAGTGTGCCATCCCTATTGTCTACGTTTGTTTGTGTTTGTTGCTCTGTTCAGTGTTAGAATCCTTTCTGCTGGAAGTGGTTAGCGCGATGGGAAAAGTGAGTTGCGAGTAGCGACTAGGCCCGTTGCCTGGTTGACTGATATACAGTCCAATGAAAACTATTTCACATGCCTCTAAAACTCCTACACTGATTATTTACAAGGAATTCTTGCTGTAAACAACCCCGATTACGCCGCCCGAATAGGAAAAGGCAGTGCGAAACCTGCTCCAGGACCTGCATCCTTGCATCATGACGGATTGAAAAAAAAGTGTCAGCCAGTGCCAACCGGTGAATTACCTTTGACTGAAAGAACTTTAAAGGATAATTATGGTTTATTGCATTCTTGTTTTCATAGTTTTGGCCAAGAATTCCTGTTATTAGTAACAGTAACAGTGCACTCACCATGTTAAGTGCTGAGATCCGGGAGTGAAGCAACAGTCAGGAAGTCTGTAAACGGGGTGCTCCAGCCAAGTTAGCAGTGTATTTTATATCCTGACTCTGTATTTCTGAGACTGATACTGACAACGATACAGCAGCCAAGAGTAACTTTCCTAACATAAACACATAACACAAACTTGATGCAAGACTTTTAGGATAAGTAGTATATTTTGCGGCACATTTTACAGTTGGAGTATCTACTTTCAGGGCTCTCTGGTGGGAAAACTGTGTGTGTTCATGTCACTGTCTCTAAATTTCTCAAGCCTAGTTTGGCATTTCCATACTGCAGTTTCTTGTTACCAGCCAGCATATGTGCAGTAAGCTAATATTGGCCCATGTATTTGCTTGGCTGAGTGTAGTGCACTTCCACAAAGTTCAAGAACTGGTGAAAGACAGACTTTTAGTCCTTGTATGGGTGTAGCTCTAAAATCTCTGGATCCCACATTTCCCATAACAGCTCAACAGCAGATTTTTTTTTTCTTTCACTTGGACTGCCTGCATGATGAATACCGGTGTCGTACAAACTCCTTACCCACAGTTTGTAGTGCAGGCTTTCCGTTAAAAATGAGCTGGCTCCAAACCCCAGCGGAGATTACTTTAATGACACCATCAGGGGTTATTTCCTCAGCCTTTACAAAGTTCTTTCCAGAGCCAGAGAACATATTCTGCAACTGCTATTACAGACTGCGTAGTACTCCCCATGACAAGTAAAGTCATGCGTCAAATATCGTTTGTTTGCCTCTTTAACTAAATAACAATGCTGTTGGCTGATTTAAAAGGGTGCAGACTAGCTCAAGTGCTGACAGCAAGTTGGAAGGTGCGTGTATCTGGTTATTTGCAAGTTGGCTTTTTATTGTTACTGATGGCAAACAAGGTTGGGTTGTGCTGTATTGTAAGCATCTGTTTTAGCTAACAGTCTGGTGGGAACTGCACTTCTGTCCGTATTTCATTATGAATGATTATTGACATTCATTGTTTTGAATAGCGGTGAATAAAAGCAGAAGTTTGATTCTGGCTTGATTTAGTTTGAGTGTTTGTTATAAACCTTGGCCTGCTTTTCACTGATAATATTTGAGTTAGAAGTTTGTTGCACTACGTGATTGAGGACAGAATGACCATTTCAGGATAGCTGGAAGGGGACTAAAGGTCTCCTAAGGTTCTGTTACCGTGTTGTTCCCAGGAGCTTACACTGATCTACACTACTTATGGCTACTTTATAGGGAAGATCTATTGGAGTGTGAGAGAAAGAGAATCAACCATGTCTGACCCTCGGTTGTGTGTTTTTTTTATGAGGAGGGGAATGGAGTGTGACAGTGTCCATGACAGTGTGGAAGGACAGAGCAAAGCTGATATGTGTGTGAACTGGGTGGTGTGTGTGTGTACGCTGTGACATTGCCATTGATCCAGCTTAGCAAGCTGCTCAGTGATGCAAGGGACTGACAAGGATTTCATTCAACTGTTCTTGACACACAAACACACAACTCTTTGTGTGCCTTTGCATGTATGCACAAAAGCAGTTTTTATGCTTTATTCATGTAGTCTCACTGTCACTTTGCTTATTTGTCTGAGCTCCCCGAATGATATCAAGTAGCCTGCCATTACATGTCTTAATAGGTACTATATTATAAATAAATAAGAGAGTAACACAAACTGAGACATCACAATCTGTAAACCAAGAGGTTAGGAAATATATGTGCAAATGTGCAGCCTCAGATGTCTTGCATTAAACTTTTCAATTGATATTAACTCGAATCTTATCATCTTATGTCCCTGAATTATCTATAAATGTTGTGCACAGCATGTCATATCACAGACGGTATTCTCTAATGTAAGCAAATGTGTTGAAGTTTACACTTTTCTGTTGCAGCATTTTGGATTTCAAACCATTCCAAACGTGGCTATACCACTTCAGTCAAAACTCAGACCTCTATATGGAATTCATAAGCGTTATAAAACTTTATGGTCAATTTGCAAGTGTGAAAAAATATCTGCTTCCAAGCCAGTTGGGTGCAGTTCTTCTCAGCCCATGCTCAACCCCCATGCTGCTCTTGTGGCTGTTAGCAGTCCAAATCCTCACCTCAAACCTCATTTGAATATTTGTCATGCAAAGTGGCAGTGGAGTCCTATTTATTTGCTGGACGAGATGACGAAAACCATCATTGATAGACTTGAAGATAACATTTGAATGATATCACTGTAGAAGTGATTACATAGCTGTGGTTAGTACACTAAGTACAGGGTCATTAAGCCTTTAAATGTCTTTTCTCGCCAGTTTTCAGCTTAACATTCACCCTTTAGCATGGTGGGTTTTCACTGTGAATGCAGCGCTAATGACTAATATGTGTGTGGGGAAGGGTGTGACTGTGGGTGGTCCTGATTGAATATTTGACTGGGTTATGTTTGTGCGCGTCATCTATACATTGTGTGCTTACTATTTTTAATTATTGAAAAAAAAAAAGAGGATTTTTGTGCGGCTCCTTAGAGAGTACAAGTGGAAGCCTTTTTTTAGAAATTTGTGAAGCAACAGCACACAAGTCAGACCTTTACCAGTCCACAACATAAATTCTAGGATCCTAACATATTCTGGTGCACTTGTGCAGGTGATAATGGCATTTTGTTTTTATACATTTCACCTGTGCAGTGACGAGGCCAAAAATGTGCTATCAGCCACAGCTTTGGTATTTTTTTTTTAGCCAGCTTTATGCTTCTTATCAAAGCACTAACATTGGAGTTGCACTACTCTTCATCCAAAACTGACACTTGTGGAAGGGTAGTATCGATGCTTAGTTGCGAGGATTATAGTATGAGGCGGCCCCGTACAGGTTGGAGTGGTGCAATCAAGGCTTAACCACAGCATTATACAAGAGCTTAAAAAAGAAAGAACAACTGGAAGTGACATGACAAGAAATCAAACAGGTACAAATATTGTCCTATATATGCATAGATAGACAATGTTGTGTAATCGCTGACTTTACATTTTGTTTTCATTATTAGTAGTAGACTTTGTATATTTACAGGTAAAATTGCATAAAAACATCCGTTATCTCCATGTTCTAGAAGTATGTGGTGCAACAGTACAGTATGATGGTGAAACTCCTTTCTCACCAGAGCCCTGCCATCCTGTCTAACCAGAATGTCAGTTAGACACAGTCGAGTGTTTGTTGTAGCGAGCTATACCAAAGCAGTAACCATATCAGATGTGGTTCACTGAGGAACACATGCAAAGTTCCCTTGCTCTGCTCTCTCTTTCTTACACAAACTCACACTGCATAGAGCACAGATGAAAATTTGAAACAACAATTTCTGTACATTCTGATAACTGTCAGACAGCAGATTTTCAGTCTAGAAAGTGGAAGGTCTAAAGCAGTGTTAGGAGTGAAACTTATTCAAATGCTTGCACATGTTTTTGTTTTACACTTCCGTACATAATTTGCATGGTTGACATTTTTTTAAGTGTTATCTGATCTATTAAAGTGTTTAAAGTTAACGCGAGGGGGAAGGAGAGGCCACATCATTATTGTCAGCTGATATTTGTATTGTCTTGTAGGACAGACAGTGATTTATCTATGGTGAAACTTCTAGTCCTCCACAGAAATGAAAGCTGTGGATGCCGGAGTAAAAATTCTAGTAAAAATAAGTAGTCATTGTGTTGATGTTGCTCAGCTTGACTACAAATTTAACTGTCTAAAACTCATGTCTCTTCTGGGTGAAATTAAAACGCGTATATGACCCACCAGCGTCACTTTATTCTTACTAATCGACTTTACTGGACAATGTAGCTGACGCTCTGAGCCAACCACTTGCCAAAATATATTTCCTTTTCACAGTTATTACTCAGTGTAATTTTCCAGTGAGTTTATGAAGTGACGCTGTTTAACTCAAGACTCCTCCAGAACCAAGGCATTTTGTCTTGTATGCTGGCTCTGGGCCCGTTCATTGAGAACCTATCCCACAGCTCATGTACAGTTGGAAAAAGGCTGCACTCAGGCCTTATCCAAATGTCTTTTCTGTTTTCAAAGATACCTTGAAATTGAGTATTGGGTGCTGTGCTAGAACACTAGACTCATCCCAGTGTCAGATCATCACACTTGTGTTTAGCCTATTTTGATCTATTTTGGGTTTATTCCAACATCCAACATCTGTCATCGTGCTTTCTTTGCCTTCTTGTTATCCATCATAAAACTGAATATGATACTGTGCTGAAGTCAACAGCACAATACATGTATAGGAGTATTAGATTCATAGATATGTTTGATTTGTTGTCATTTTGGGAAGCTAAAGAATTACAGAGGACCTGGGGATTTTTTTCATGCAACACTTTAGATTTGATAGTTGATATTTGATGTGAAAAAGGAACATACAGCACTGTGATGTAGCCGACTGACTTCACCAACATAGCTGGACAATCTGTGAAAGTATGCATTAACATTTACACTTAATATGAAGTGAATACTGTCTTTCCCTTATTGGGCTTTGAAGCACTGGCTCCTTTCTCCTCTTTTCACTCTTTTTTGAAGAGCTTCAGAAAAAAAAGAGGTGTGTGTTTGTGTGTGTGTGTGTGTGTGTTACAGCGTGGAAGGGAGGACACTATGCATGTTTGTGTGGATGAATGTGTGTCAGCATACACACACATGCACAAGCACAGATGGCAGCTGCTCAGCGAAGCCTCAGAGTGGTAATTACTGAGTGTGAGGCGCATTACTTAACTCTTAGCGTTGCAGTCTGCAGGGTATCTGTATTGTTGCTACTGCTGTAGAGGAGGAATTGATTTTAAAGAGACAGGCTGGTTTAGGTTGTGGGAAAAAAAAAAAAGAAGGCTGCACTTAAGCAACACTGTGACTCAACTTTGTGCTCGTCTCTTGTTAGCATCAGTATTATACAAATCACTCTGCAATATTTAGATTGAATTATGGGTTTTTGTTCTTTTTCTCGTAAGTCCATCATAGATGACGTCTGTGTTGCAGATTAGCGGCCTGTTATTGTGGCAAACTCTGAACACTTATTACACGAGTCAGAACTCAAAACCAATACAATTGTTAAAGCTTCATTTTTTATTTATTTGAACTCTGTGGGAATCTGTGCAAATTTGAATCTGTTCAAATACTTGTGATAAACTATATTCAAGTCCTTACTGGGTTCATTTTTGAGCTCCTTAACTGGGAATGAGGGAGTTTTTCAGTGACTCTTCGTCGCCGATATCCTGATCTTTTATTTTGTTCAACCAAATGTAAAACCTTATTCACAGTTTATCCAAATCAAAGCTAATAAACAAAAGAATGATGAAAAGAGATGATTACCACAGCAGGGAATGTGAGGGGTTAACCTACCATGCTATATTTGACCTACAGTGCAAACTGAATCCTTTTTTCCAGATTTCTTATCATGGCAGTGGAGAGGGAGGGGAGAGTGATGACTCAGAAGGGGAGAACCAGGAGCTTGCACAGATTGACAGAGGTATGTGCCCACTGCCAACCAAATCATTTTGCTGCAAATAAATTATGATTTTCACTTAGTGATTACAACTGGATGTTTCAAGTCTGTAACTTGGACTGTTATGCAACCATGTCTCCACCTTCTCCTTTGACATTTTCTGCTTATCAACTCCTCTAGAGAGACGGAGAAATTGTGCCCTCACCCCCTTGGCCACCAGCCAGCAGCACAACCAAGGTCCTCTCTCTCCGGCCCGGTTACGACGCCTCCGCCTCCTTTTAGATGCCAATCTGGACCGTCACTCTTCAGAGGAAGAACTTGAGCGAATCAGCTGCGGTGACAACAGGAAATGGGTGTCTGCGCTTCCCCAGCGCCACAGCGATCACCACAGCAGCGCCTCCAGTGATGAGGAGGTGCGGGACCTCTGTGGCTGTGGGTCGCCAGTTGCCTCCGCCAGGCCGCTGGTTGAGCCTGGTGCTTGCCTGGCCGCTTCCCCCAGTCCTGTACTCTTCAGCTCCAGCCCACCACGTAGCCTCAGGCCACCCCCTATGCGATTTCAGCTGCAGGTGGTACAACCAGTTGCACGGCCCATCATTTTGACCCACTTTGACCAGTCAGCACCTTACAGAAAGTATCGGCACAGCTATGGAGGGGAGCCAGGGAGACCCAGTCTGGACTTAGAAAAAATGCAACAGGTTAGTAGTCCAAGCTTTACCTACCAAGAGCACTGGGCCTCTGCCAAAATGTCCCCTGTGCTAAAACACAGACAGAAAACCATGACGTTTGCTGAGCACTTTAAAACTATTATGGTCCTCCTATTGTGAAAGGTTTAGAAATAGCTGTTGTTCATTCTGTCCAACACACTAGACCATGGGTGAACACTGCAGTGTGTAGGCACTGCTAACTCAGCTTAGGACATTTAATCTTTTATATCATTAACTTATGATTACATAACATTAGTAACACATTAACAATATGACAGCCATGGAAGAACTCAGATTCTTTACTAGTAAATAGAAGTGGAAGTGTAATATATTCTACTGGAGGCAAAATGTTTATGTAGAAAATGAACATTTAATTTATGTCAAATTCCCAAAAAGAATAAGACCAGTACACACTCAATATTGTATTATTCTCATTACTGTTACATTGAAGTAGCATTGTAGTGCACTTATTTGCTGAGGTAGAGATAATTTAGGTTTTGTTGATAGTTTGAGCAACTATACGTTATATTTTGTACATATCGTACGTTTTGTATTTGAATTGTAAATGCATGTTGAGGCACACGTCACATGTTGTCATCGAAATTCATAGTAGTAAAAGTATATAGCTAGAGATAAAAATCTTTGTGACTGTGATTCAGATTGTGGATCGTGATTCTACAACAGATCCTCCTGTGATCTTTAGGCCCCATCGCCCACTCCTAGCCATGATGTTCCTTGGGTCCTTAGTATCTGATAGATTATCATCATTCTCTGTATGTATTTTCTTGTGCTACACGACACGAGGTTGCGTGGTGATTTTGTCTTAGTAGTGCAGGATGACTTTTTGTCTCAAAATATCAATTTCACCATTAGCTGAAGTATATTTCTTGGTATTCGTAATGCAGTTTAATATTTAACACTATGGCAATATGGGCATCACACTGGGAATGGTTAGAAGACAAAACAGCAGATGAGCGTTAAACTACCCCCCTGAGCAAATCAAACAGCGATCTCGGGTCGAGGCTTTGGTCCAAAAATACAATGATGACTACACACACACACGTACACACACGGCCACGCAAGATGTGCACGCTCACGCAGACAAACAAAGTCTTCCCTTTCCATAGCCGGACGCTCGCCACCACGGTGGTCCGGCTGGAGAGGGATGAAGGAGAGGGAGGCACGGACGGCAGATGTCCGCCCTCGTTTCTCACAAAGGCTGGTGAGCGAGGGGAAACGATGGAGGGGTGGAGGCAGAAGGAGAGGATTAAATAAACAACAGAAAAACGACAGCCACTAATGAGTCATGGAGAAGCTGGTCCACTAATCATTAAAATCCAATAGACTTGTTGGCCCACATCACGGATGGGAAAGGGTGTGTGTGCGCGTCTCGGTGTGTGTGTGTGTCGTGAGTTGTTGAGCGTGTGTGTGTGTGTGTTTGCAGAGAGAGAAACTGCAGGTTTCAGGGGTCCATATGTCCATGGGGTTTTTAGAGGGAAAGAACAGATGATGAGAGACAGCGGGCAGCAAAGAGAGGGGTGCGGAGAAAAAAAAAAGAGAACGAGAGTGTGTGTCTCTGTGTGAGTGTGTGTGTGGTTGGGGTATGCATCTATCATCCTGCCTGTCTGTTTGTGTCTGCATGTGTACATCCTCCTGTCTGATTTTGTAGCTGTATCAGTGTGTGTGTGAGAGTGTGTGCCCACTCAGTCAAGTGGAATGGGAGGTGCTGCAGGGAACACAAAAGGGGGCCTATAGAGGTAGCTAGCAGACACAGCCAGAGTCTCCCATTAACCCTTTAGCTGGACAACTTCCAGTCACAAAGTCTGCTTCAAGTTCTACACCAGCACCATGTAATTCCTTCTACAGACGCTCTCCTGGGGTTAAACCAAAGGAAGAAAAAAAAAAAGAGACTGACTTGGTTCTTGTTAAAATGCTATTTAAAGATGTAAAATACAGGAAAATTCTGTGTGATATGAGATGAATATGAAGGAGTAGAGCACATGTTAATCCTCTAATGGGTTGCCAGTGCAGTGCTCCCAAATGATTAGTTTTAGTGTATTAGTTTACTTTGGGAAGTTTTCTCTTTATAATTGTTTATCTGTGATGTGGAAGGAGCAAAACTTCTGCTAACAATTTCGAGAAATATTTTCATATTAAATGATTAAATCATCTGTCGCATTAGAAAACTTTTAGTCATTTTGATTTAACAAATCCAAACAATTTTGTTGGAAGGACACTGAAACAAATTCTAATTGTGCTCCTTATACCTGGGCACTAGATCCAAGACTTTCTAAAACAATGTATCTCATAATTTTTTTAAAGGGAGGGTTAAAGGGTCAGCGAGTTGTTTTATTTTAGTCTCTGATAATCCCTTATGCAGGCTAATCCATGCTGAATTGTGCAGTTGTGGCTGCGTCATTGTTAATGTAATTACCATAGAAGAACAACAGTTCGTGCGGCAGATGCTGATCATTTGAGAAATATGCCATCTATGGTCCATCTCTATAAAGTTTAACAATATGACACACTTGTTGCTCTGCTGCTGTGGAGGTGTTTTTGGAGACAAGCATAAAATAGTTTTAAAAAACGTTGCCTTTGAAACAGCTATTGGTTTCTGCTCATTACATTGTAGTTTGAAAACCAACTGGCTGAGACTGTCTTGCGATGTAATGTCTCGTATTAGTCATCATGCTCAGTTTTATTTGGGCTTTTCATGCTTTAAAAATAAGCTCAATTATGTAGCAGTGTATTCAGAAGTGCTGGTAAATCATCTGTGTTGATCTTTCAAAGTTTGGCTTCAACATCTGATTTGACTTTATATATTAAGACATAAACAATGATTATAGCTCTCACTAAGGATTAGACTGGATAAGGCAAGCCAAGACAACTTTATTTGTGTAGCGGGTTTCATATATAAAAAGCTAATCTAAGTTGTTGAAACAACTGAATAAATTGTTATTGTCCAAGCATCACACACAGACAAAATCTTTAAAATCCTCTGTGTTCCACATGAACAACAGTCAGCCAAAACAGCTAGCTAGCTGGCGAGTCACGACCTGTTGGACGTGTGTGTGTGTGTGCATATATCTTAAGTGGAGCGTGGTGTGGGGCGGCGGTGGTGGACAGAATGATTCTGCTGCCGTCAGAGTGGTGGATGTGTAGGCCGAAAGGACAAAATTATCCATCACTTTATTTCGGGTGAGATAGGCTCATTGAAAGTTTGCAGTGGACTCCTAAAACATGAAAAAATGTATTTCTGTTAAGCATTTTTTTTTTAGAAGCTCAATTACATACAGAGGACAGATTTCCATTTTTTTAAAAGTCCTGCTCAAGCAGCTTGCACCCAAATGGACTGTAGTGCCACCGATACAAAGAAGATAAGGGTTGGCAGGAGGTGAGCATGAGGGCAAGTGCACACCGGCTCTCTCCCACATCACAACAGCAGGAGTCTTGTGTTTCCATTCTTTCCTGTGCTCCCTTCCCCCTTGGAAGCTACCTCCCCAACTCGAGACAATTCGATGATTGTGTGGTCCCTCCACCCCCACTGTTTTTTTGAGAATAGTGGAGCTGCGTGGACATGGAGGGGAGTGGGAGACAGGATATTGCATAAGCTTCATTGACCAACTGTTTAGTTTAGTGAGACAGCTGGATTTGCCTCACTTCCTCGATCATACCGATTCAACGCTAATTGACTGCCTGCGTTCGCTTCTCGTCACGTCATATGTTTCTGTTGCAATGGAGAGATTACTGTTCAAATAATGGTTTTGAAATGGCTGAATGTTGTAATATGCTCAAATATGATCAATATTCACATAAGCCTGGAATGAGGTTTACACAAACAAATGAATGCACTGCAGGCACTTACATTACAAGAAGTGTATTGTACAAGACAAAGTGTTCTCGTTACACAAGTATCAGAACTTTTCCATCGCTTTGGGATCGCCATATTCCCAGAGAAACTGTTGCAAAAATATTTTATGTTGAAAGAAAGCAAGTGTGTGCCCTTCCATAGCTGTCATTGTGTGTTCTTGTTCTCCACAGAAAATGCTGCTGAAAAAGAACTGTGGAGGGAAAACGCGGACTATAAAGATTCGGGTGAGTTCAATTTTATTCAGCTTGCTTTCTTATTAAAAAGAAACAATACGGCGGTGGTGGCGGTGGTGGCGGTGGTGGCGGTGGCGGCGGCGGCAGGGGCAGGGGAATGGCGGATACGCTCCACCGCCACCATCCATGTTAACTTCCGTAAACACTGAGCACGCTTGCTGCATGTGACGTCATTGTGTCCTCCTCTGCACATGCGGGACACTTTTGGGTCGTATGAAGTTCACACAGCAGATCACATACAAGTTGTATTTAATTGGAAATGTGAACAAACTCGAAAAAAAATCGGATTTCACAAAAAAAATCTGAATTGAACATTAAGTCCTGCAGTCTGAACGTAGCCAATCTGTCGGATTGTTAATTCAGATAATACACCGTTATCCTAATTTGTGACATAAAATATCATGTCTGAGTCGGAATCCAAGGCTGTCGGTATGTTAAGGCCATTTTTCATGGGTTCCATTCGTTTTTCCTGTCGGATTGCAAGGTTTTCAGATTGTTAAGCGTCGGATTATCGAGTCACGACTGTATTTGGTCAATGCTATGTTCAGTTATTAATAAAATCCTAAATGTCAGTTTTATGGTTTGCCCTGTAGTATGTATTTGAAGCATTATGTTAATTTTCTAAGTCTTTGCATGCCACCTCATCCCCAACATGGCCTTGTTTTCTCTGTGAGTCTTGCAAGTGAATAGATAAAATCGTAATGGCCAAATAATATAAACACACACACACACACACACACACACATACTTGCATACGGAGACTTTCCCCTTTTATGTGACTGATAACAGGCAGTCCAGATCAGGGTATCCATTACAGCAGTGATAAGGTTGCAAGGTTGCTCGGCCCCCGTGAACAGCCTGGCCTGTCTTGTCGCCAGCACCTTGATCTCCATCCAACTGCATACTGGGACAGCATCTGGCTACAGTGTTTGTTCCCATGCCCTGCTAGCTACAGAGCCATGCCTGAGACGTCTGTGTATCTGATAGCACCGTCAGTTTCCTTTTGCAAACAGTTAAAGAGTGTTTACTGCAATGATACCTAACCCTAAGACACAAAAAAGAAAAACACGCTCTTTTTCCTTTCCAGGTTTGTTTGATGTCTTGATCTCCCTCAACAACCTTTAATAGCCCAGCTTTCCACTTGTCCCATTAGTGGTCTTGGAGGGGCACATTTGCTTGCCTAAATAGCTCAGTCAACACAAAGGTATTTTCCCAAGACTGCGTCCTAGTTGATCTTCCTGCAAATTGGGTTTCCAAACACAACGTCCACTAATCATACACCAACTCAGCACTGTAACTGCGTTGGGGTGATTTTGTTTGCGGCGGGTAAGGGAAGCATGCTGGAGAGTCGACTGGAACAAGCCTCGGTATCTTGGCACAGAGCAGGGCACTCCAGAAGGATGCACAGTGTGGTGAGAAAAGTGACGTTATTATCACGTTGTGTGGGATAGTGTCAGTGGAACCTTATCACACACTTGTTTACGTATACACACACATACAGCAACTGTCTTCTTGTGTACTTTAATCCTCCATGTATGCAGTTAGTTATGTATGGCGAGTACAAATGTGTACTAAGAAAAAAAACAAAAAAAAAACTGAGGATGATGTTTGAGGGTTTTAGGAAGGAGAAGAGAGTGGCGATGAGAGCTAGAGCTGAGGAGGAGGAAGAGGAGGTGGAGTGTGTGCGGTTCCCTTGTGGTGTATTTCCAGGGATGGAGTCATTTTCCATTTATAGCCTGGCCGGCTGCTATCTGTTTAGCTCCACTGATACATAGAGATATTGCTCATTATCCTCTGTTCTCACTGGTGTAGTTGGTAGTGTTGTTGTCCTCGTCAGTGACGTCTGTGGGCATTGGGTTTGTTCCAGTTCGTAGATTTTTCTTGAAGTGAGTACACAGTGAGTCTTTGGATTGATGAGCCATTTGGAGGCTTGTGTTGACTCTTTCTACCCTTTGTGTCACTCCGTACTGTGCGCCTCCCATCTCTCTTCTCTCTTACATCTCGTCTCCGCTGCTACATCTCCGCTTCTGTCTCTCTCTTTCCCACTTTTATCTGTCAACCCTCGGTTTCCTGGCCAGGATCCAGAACAGACACTGGATCTGGATGGGGCCCCAGCTTTGAGACTTGGATTCAACCATCCAAGCATGGGAGTTGTTACAGGGGTTGAGGAGGTCGGTGGGGCTGGTGGTTGCGTGCGTGAGTGTTTTAAGGGGGGAGTCATGTGGAAGCAGTAGGAAAACACAGATTTGGCCACTGTTGCTGCTGCTGCTGCTGAGGCCTTCCCCCTCAAGGGGTTGGAGGTGAATAGGAGAGTGTATTGATGAGAGCTTCCCAGGCTGTAGCAGGCAAGAGTGATGGCGTCTGGTTTCAGCCAGCGTAAAGAATAGGCGGAGAGGAGGGCGAAGATTGATTGAGTTGAGGCAAATGGGGCAAATATGGACGGAGTGAAGGGGGAACCTTAATTAAAGGAAAATATACTGCACGGTCCTCTGGTTTTTGATTGGGGCAACCTCCATGACCGTGAAATATAAGAACAAACTGATGTTAATACAGCAACTTGGTTGAGAAGATGAATACTCTTTCTGCATCTACTACATCTGTCTCTCGTTTATGAAGCTACCTCTAGCAGTTAGCTTAGCTTTGAGAAAAACTCAAAACTTGCCGGAAAGTTTGAAAGACACTTCAAAAAATCGCCAAAATTTGCAGGCAAGAACTGTAAAAGCAGAACAAATCATCTGATTTTCAACTTTCCGATGTGCCTTGAAGTAGTCGTGCATGATGCATGGTTTCACCAGAAAATTTCACCGAATCTAATCTACTCTAGTTCTGTTAAAAAAATCAATTCCTTCCTCTCCAACAAGCCATGGGTGAGTCAGCTTTTACCAACAGTCATGGAACAAAAATTCGGGGACTTTTCTGCAGCCTTTGTTTAGACGAGGCAGAGGAAAGACAAACAAGTTACAGAGATAGATAGGAAAATAAAACTTACCTGAGCAAGTTAGCAACTTTGAAGATACATTCAGCATGGTGCAATATCTCTTTAGCGTTGATGTGTGTTGTAGTATGAATGCCTAGTTTGTAGAGGCTACAAAAATGTCAGTCTACTTCTCGTGGTGCATGACTTTATGTTGCAGTGAGAAATGAGCCCACAGTGAATAAAAACAGGACAGGAGCAGAAGCTTCTTTGAATTTAGAGCGTTGAAGGTTGTTTTTGCTCTAGCATGTGTATTTGTGAACTTAAGCACAGACAGATTTTGTTGCTAATTGTTTCCAGTGAGACCTCTGACCTGCAAGGCAAAGGTTGGATGACTGAGCTGGCGCTGTTGGTGGTGAGCTGATCTGTCGGCCTGCTTACTGCCAGCTGAACACTATTGGCTGTGCGAGCTGTGACAGTATTATCTAGTAGACCACACTAGCCATGGATTTCAGGATGGATTGTTTGGAAAAAAAGGGTGCTGTGAAAACATTTCTTGTCTGTTGTTTACTAGTCATTACAAAGCTCCTCATTCTCTGATACTCGAAGCTTAGGACTCAACCAGAGGACGGCCACTATGTAGTCCATGATATAACTGCAGCTTATAAACTGTGACCTGACTGAGGTGAAGAAAAGCACACACTGTAACTTGCTGTTGGATCCTCATAAATCCTTTCTCCATGTTGGGGATAATTTACAAAGAATTATTGTATTCATTGTGTGTAAATGCACATAACTGTTGTTTTAGGGAGGGTCATATGGATAGTGATGCTGCAGGTCTTTAATAAACTCAGAGGAAAAACTCCTGCAAACAGCTGGAAGCAACAAACTGAACTCTGATCTGTAACAGACACTGTTTTCAGTGTAGTGAATGTTTGTTATTATGGACATTTCAGTTTGTAATAGATGTGAAACTGTAGAGGAATGTGATTGGAAAAGGGTATTTTGTGATTTTGGCAACAAACTTAATGTTTTTGGATCAATATCGGCACTGAAGGTCACTTGACACAATTCAAAGTACATCGCTTGTGTGTGGCTGCCTGTTATGTGACTGCATGCAATTCGGACTTGTGCCGAAATGTCACTATGTCCGACCTAGTGACGTTGCTATTGCAACTTTTACGCAAAAGCGGTTGTGCAGACAAGAAGCGTTAAGATGAATGGAAATAAATGCATGTCTTATAGAGGCCTTAGTTTGCTTCTCTCATGACCATCTTTTTAAATTTACATTTTCTGTTCAAATCACAGTTAGTTAAAACTTCATGTGGCAGACTGATTGACATGGTTAACTGTGTTTTTCTCTGCTGTCGAGTTCTACAAGTCCTTCGGGAATGATCGTGTCTTTAACTGTACCACTGTTAACTTTTCTCCACAGTAAAAGAGAACAAGCTAGCAAAGCAAATGACACCTGTTTAACTGTCTCTGTTGGCCAGATGACTTCCTTAAAGACTTTATGCTAAACTAAGCTCATACTCTACTCGTGATATCCTTACATTCGCTGTACATTCTGAGCGGGGTATGAATCTTCTCACCTAGCTCCTGCTAAGAAAGCAATGAAGCATATTTCCCCAGCTGGGGGCTCAATGAAGGATAAGAACTTATAATAACAATAAATCTCTAAAACAAGACATTTTTGCAGCATTACTGGGAATTTACCTTAACTTTCCTACTACTGCTTTTGGTATCTGCAGGGATTTGTACTCGATTTGACCCTTCGGGGGCCTTAAACGTCTGTTCTACTGCAGATGTGGACACAGGACGGCTCTGTGAGGGTTGTTAACGTTTGTAGGGACCTGATGTAAAACTCTCCCCCACACTTGGACCGACATGCAGCTACCATATGGAGAACATCTTAGCACAGTTCCCATCTATTAAGTTTACTGTACCTTGTTCTTGGGATGTGATTTGTTTTTCCATGTCTCATTTTTTTTTTTTTTGCCTGTTTATATTAACATCGGTCCCTACGACAGCTCTAAGTGGTGTTGGGAATTGTTGCTGAGTTACTGTGGCTCGGTTGTCAGTGCTAAATCCCTGAAGATGTTGGCTGAAGTCATAGCAACACCTGTAGCCTCATACGCACTCCAACTAGGACTTCTTCATGTGCGCTGATGTCATGCGGGTACTTTTCCAGTAGCGGTGGGTACTTTCTCTAGCATCTCGGCGGAATCAGTCAGCTGCGGGGATGCGTCCGTCTCACTTGTCACAGCGGTGTTTGGTCGACACAGCCGTCCATATAAACACGCTCTCTCCAGTTTTTCCATGGGATCGGCTCGCTGCAGCGAATCTGTCTCAGCGCACCTTCTCTTAAACTTCGCTCCCTCTCTGCAGGCTCTGGAGAAAGTGCTGCCTCACTGCCAAATCCAACAGTCATTTCCTGTCGTTTCCTGTAGGGAGGAAAATGACCAGGGCTAATTTTAGACAGAGGGCTTGTGGAGCTACAAGAAGCGAGGTTCGGCGCACAGGGGGAACGTCTCTGCAAGTGGAAAAGCATTTATGTCACTGAACCTGTAGCATAAATGAAAAAAAATAAAAAATCTGTGTGAAAATGTTCTAATGATGGGCAGTCATTTTCCACCACTGCTCGTTAGGTTTTCAATAAATTCTCTCCTCGTCTTATGCACGTTTATGCTGCAAAGCAAAAGAATACCTTACATCACAGTTGACATGAATGCAGCCAGAGTAACTTACACTGTAAGTCAAGGACGGCAGGTAATCCTCACCATTTCCATCCGCTAAAGCTCAAAGGCGGGATTAACCCAAACACCTACTTCTGACAGCTCCGTGAACACTCTCTCTCTCTCTCTCTTTCTGTGTCCTCAGAACCTGACTGGCAGTCGTCCTCCGCCCAGATATACCTACGACCCCTCCATCTTCGCCTTCCGCTCGCTGAGCACAGTGCCCCCCTGCAGCCCCCTCACCCCGTCTGAGGATCCTCCCTGCTCATAAGGAAATTCATGCCTCCCCTCCCGCCAGATAATCCTCTCTCACCGCCCCCCCCGTCTCCTCATTCCCAGACGGCTGCTTTTTTTTTGTGGCTTCTGCAGCGAAACCAAGGAGTGACTGTTATGAAACTGACCGCTAGAAAGACATTAGTTTGATGGTCGAGCTATTGCACACTCAGGTAATCCCACCCTGTCACTTTGATCCTCACTCTCCAAATCAGCAGGACCGTTTGGGGAATTAAAAAAAAAAGGCCTAACAACGTTTTTAAGGATCCTTCAGGTATTGCATATAGTTGTCCCTGGAAAGATCCTGTGATTGGAGAAGGAATGATCAATAAACAAACATGGACTAGCGGACCAGGGGTGGTACAAAGGGACAACACCGACCATTTTGAAACCTGAATTTAGTTTTTAGGTTGGATCAATATTCAAGGGAAATAATGCATGTAAGACAATCAAATGGTTCCAGGGTTTCTTCCTTTGATGTGATTACTGGACATCTTGTAAGGTTCTTGGTAACTTCATATACTAAACATGGCGAGGTGAGCCATCTGATATCTTGTTATTGTTGAGATGAACATAGACAGTGGTCACATTTGTCTGTCTGAAAAAAAAACTACTTCTTTGGATGTGTTATTGAATACGCAGGTCATGTGAGGTCGAGCTATAACAAACATATATGACTGTAGTTCAATAGACGACCTTTGACCTATGATGATGTACGTTTCTTAATGAATATGTCACTTGTAGTCCAGGTCAAAAGTTAAGTACTTGTATCCTCTTTCCTTGCATGAATTCCACTGTTTTTGCAGAAAGAGAGATGAGTGGAAATAAGAAAGTCTGACAATAGTTTGCTGCACATTTGGCAAGTGTAAATGGTGCTGTGTTCTGCATAGCCTACTTGTAGTGTGCCATTTTTTTTTTTTTTTTTTTCCAATATTGTACCTCATTACTTTCTAGGTAGAAGAGGACCACTGGTGTAACTAAGACATCCCAGTGTTTCTAAAGATCTCTTATTGCCTTGAAATGACATTCCTGTTGTATTGAACAAAACTTGAGGTAGTTCTCAGCCGTCGAAACGAGCTGACGAATCGATTAAACACAATGTCACCACTGTAAGATTTCGCCGAAGTGAATGTAACATTGTGACATGTTTTCGTCCCTTGTTGCACAAAAAATGAATCAATAAATGCCCTGTGGCCTCTTGTTTAGGAGGGGACTTTTATTTATTTTGTGCAGAGTATATATAATATGTAGGTATAAGGTGAGAAATCAAAGAGGAATATCCATCATGCATACAGCAAACAGCCTATTTCAACAAACACTAAACGCTGAAAGCAGTATTTTTACATTAACAATGAAAGGTCCATAAAAAAGTATCACATATATGGATCTCTGTTGAGCTCAGCAGTGTGTTAACCTTTTTTTTTAACTACACTGTTTTGCTTTTACCACCCCAGTGTAAGTGCTTGGTGAATGTAGTTGAGCATTCAGCAGCTTAAGACCCAGATATGTCCTGATAATTGATTTGGTGTGCTTATTAGACAGTCACCATAAACTATACTTAGTAAAAACAACCCAAAAAACACAACACCAGATAAATTCGAGGTGTTCAACCCTTGCTACTCCAGCTCACGAAGTAGCAGTAATACTGTCTCTGCAGCAGCCTTCCACTACACTTTAAAGCAGGGGTGGGCCATCCTGGTCCTCGAGGGCCGCAATCCTGCATGTTTTAGATGTTTCCCTCTTCCAACACACCTGATTCAAATGATCAGCTCATCATCAAGCTCTGCAGAAGCCTGATAACGATCCTGATCATTTGAATCAGGTGTGTTGGAAGAGGGACACATCTAAAACTTGCAGGATTGTGGCCCTCGAGGACCAGGATTGCCCACCCCTGCTTTAAAGAGTCTATATTCTGCACATTTATAGATGCATCATTTTATTTTTGGAATCTATACTTTAATGTTCAAAAACACATTATTTTACTTCTACTGTACATTGCTTCTTCCGCTGGAAGCCTTTTAGCCCCCTTTAGTCTCTTGAAGGCCTGCCTCTTGAGAAGACCAGTCTGCTCTGATTGGTCAGCTGGCATGACTAAAGTGATGCAATGCTGCTTATTTATCATAATGAGGAAACAATGGAAGACTACGAGGAAGCTGCTTTGTTTTAACGTGTGCCAAACTAGCTGCTAGGCAGATGTTATCAAAGTTCTTGTCGGCAGGTTCTCTCCACTCAGCAGCCATCTTGATGAGGTCCTCGGGCAAGTTATTGTTGACCAAGACCAGGTTCCTGTCTGAATGAACGGGGAGAGAGCCATGACTGCAATCGTAATGGTCAGTGTATAGAGTCACCAACAACACGATTGGCTGCATGTTTCCCCAGTTGGGCTTTTTTGGGGGGCCCGTGTTTGACACTATGGTGATATAGTGTAGATTTTTATTCAGGATTCTTGAAGTGACATGTCTGGCATCATGAAAATGGGTTACATGTTGATGGTAAACAAGTGTTTCAGGCAGGTAAGGAGCAGTGTTTTCTATGGGAGGGAGTAGCTCAAGCTTTCAGCTTTGTAAATTTGAAGGAAAGTAAAAAACCCAAACGGCAAAATCTTAAGATGTATTTACATTAATTTAGGTAAAGATGAGTGTATTAAACTATCTAATCAGTTTAATGCAGTAACTGTGAATAATAATCTGCCTTCAACCTTTTTCTCTTATCTCCAATTCCAGCAGCTTTTCATCCTGAGTGGAACCAAGTGTGCAGATTTATGTTTTGTCTTATTGAGAGTACGTGAGAAGAGTCTGCCAGGTGGAGGGACTGGACTCCTCTCATGCGTTCAAAGAAAGGAAGCTAGCTTTCCATCCCTGATTAGTAGGTCACAGCAAAAGATCTGCAACCCAGACCACGAGCCTCTATGTGCCAGATCATACCCAGAGAAACGCTCTTTGTGTCTGTGAGGGAGCTCAAAAGAGAGAAAAAAAAACAGTCTGACGTCAAAACTGGGTTTGGTGAGAAGGCGGCCCAGCAGAGGACGGACGGTTGGAAAGTTACTTGAATGAATGTCAGAGGGTATAATGAAGCGAAACAACTCGGAGGTTATGTACAGACAAATTTATTATACATTTATGTAACAAAATACAGTTTACATTTCTTTGTGTTCTGAGAAAAGACAACAGGAAAGAGGGTGGAAAGTGTGGCAGTAAACCAAGAGAACAGCTCTGAGTGGGATTTCACAGAGCGAGGAATCCTGCTCCGGGCAAACACACACCAATAGCCGACTCCCTCATAAAGACAATCTTGTTAAAAAGAGAACTTTGAGAAGGTTGGACTGTGTGTGTGTGTGTGTGTGTAGACGGAGACACACACACTCCACTTAGCTTGAGTCATTATCAGCTTGCGTTTCATCCAGTAAGCCATCCAAGTGTCCAGATGGTCAGAAAAGCTGCTTCAATGCTCTCCCTCTTTCTCCCTACACACTCTCCTTTGGAAAAAAAAAAAGGTTATGCCAGCGATCGACTGAAGCCAAATAGGGGAGGGATACAGATTGGATGTCAGGTGGATTTAACTGCAAGAGGAGCAGCCAAAAGACTAGAAAGCTGAATTCGGATCAGTTGCCGCTCCTGCTCTGTCTCTTCCTATTTTCTGCTTGGATGATATAGAATTCAAATTTTTAAAAAAAGAGGAGAAAATTCAACTGCTACCCGTCTCCATTATTGTCAGAGGTGACAAGTGCCAGCAGGCTGACTGCCCAGTGTCTGCTCAGCCAGTTTAATGCGAGCTGAAACGGTGTGCTTTTTGTTGATCACAGTCTGAGAATATCCTCGAGAGATAAATAAAAGGTGCCGCGTTGTTGTCTCAGCCCCGTTCCTCTGCGAGTCCCCGGTCTGTTGCGGACTCCCGTTTTTTTCTGAGCCGAACCGCACACGGACTGGGATGAGTGGAGAGGGTTAATGGTCAGAGCTGAGGAGACTGGAGGCTTTGTGCTGCAGGTATTATCTGCAGAATAAAAGCTGCTGGAGTGGAGACACAAGAGCTCTCTTATGTTTCCCCTCAGTAGCCGTACTTGTCGTTTAGGTGTGTGCGTCCATCTCCAGTCTGACCTACGAGACAAGAAAAGACAGTTTTTAGCATCAAAGGGACCCAAACACATGCATCCTTTATCACGTGGTGGAAAAATCTTAGGACAAAATGGAATAAGCTGTGGATGATCCCGATACTAGAGATACCAAACTGTCCAGAAGCACAGATGCCAAGCAGCTGGAGTGCATGTTTGCATACCGCATCATCAACCTAATCACCGCATGGTGCAATTAGATGTGACCCTGAATAAAAGCCTGCCTGGCAGCCGTTTCAAAGTTTATTTTATTCAAGCTTATCTTATCACTTTTAAGTGACTTTGATCTGCATTCCTGACTGAACAATGAAAACGTCGCTGCAATTTCAGCTGCACAAATGGACCATGAAAGCCCGTTTACTTCCTCTCGCCAGGAAAATATTTGTTCCTCAGAATCCCAGGAACCCTGTCAATGTCAACGATTCAGAAAAAAACTTTTCATTCTGCTTTGACTCTGGATAAATCAGAATTTTGTAAAAGTTTGAAAGGTCGTTCAAACAAAAGGCTGGAAGATTTGGGGAGAACTACGTGTTAGAACAAACAGTGACGGGGGTTAAGGTTACTGCGGCTTGATAAGCTTGACCACAAGCTGATCAGGAGTCACATCCGTCAGGTTATTTACCTGCAGGAGGCATCCACACGGAGTAATCGGGGTCGTCGTCTGGATACTGTCCTGACAGCTGCACTGGTGGCTGTGGACACAACATGAGAAAATTCACCTTGTATATATGTTCACATTTTTCTGTGTGATGCATGTTGAGTCGTGTGTGGGAGCGCCTACCCTGCTGGGGCCCATCACTCTCTTCTTCTTCTTGGGGCTGGGGTCTGCCGCTGGCTCTCTTTCAACTTCTGCTTTAGACTCTGTGGAAATGCAGGTACCGTACATTAGAGGGGGTTCATCAGTATATGTGTATGACTATGCAACACTATGTGGACATCTACAAATACATAATCACCACTATGACATATGCAGATTTTGCTAGTGTGTTCCATTTTGTGCTACTTAATACTTTCATTCTACATTTCACAGGCAAACATTGGACATTTTACTCAACTACTTTTGTTTTATTTGTTTTACACAAAACACTAGATAACACAGGTACAATGACTCCACTCAGCTTAGTGAAGACTAGCTGGTAGCCTAGCTAACTAGCCTAGCTAAGCAGAGGAGCAGGATTAAAACCTGTTATGTGATTTTGTGAGAGAAAGTTTTCACAAAAAAAAGAAAACAGAGTTACAAACCAAACTACAATGGTTAACTAAAGCTACAGAGGCTAGCTGATAGTCTTAGCTAAAGCTAATTTAGCCACTGTTTCCTGTGAACACTCAGTTTTGATACTGTGGAACTTTAAGAATGCAATTTGTTCTACCACATAAAAAAGACTGTTTTGAATTTGACCATTGCTGTCTTGGTTTTCTGAAACTCAACACATGAAGGTTGAAAATTTGAGGACACTACGCTCGTTGACACGGTGGTGGCCTGTCAATCACAAGGTAGCCATGCCTTAAAACATACCCTGCTTTATCATCCACTTTACTTTGGATGGGATCATAATTTGCAAAATGAACATCATGCTGCATTTAGGGAGACTTAAAAACTAACAACTGAGACCATAAACTCTTCAGGTAAATGTTCACTTAGATAACAAATCAAATGGTAAGTCGAGTCATGTTCTCATAGACTTCTGTACAGTAAGACCTCTTCTTGCCACCTGAAGAGTCCCCCCCTGCTGGCTGTTAGAAAGAATACAGACATAAGGCACCTCAGACCAAGAAGCTACATCCATCTGTTATATAGTTTATGTTCAGCAGCTGAAGTTTTCTTTTCTTTTTTTTTTTCTTTTTAGGTTTTTAAGGTCAAGTCTGGGTTGATAATTAGTGTAAAGGCCTTTAAATGACAGATTTACTTTGGCTCAACTTCACTGTTTATGTAGTTACAATTCTCTGCTTTTGTGGGGCAGTATTATCAGAAATACAACCCATACATACGCTATGAATTTTCTACACATTAAAGTTACATTTCAGATCAGGAATTCATATTACAAATACGAATATAATGTGCTGTTATAAATTTAACTAGCCAACTGCACATAAAGCACTTCTATGTTGATGTTGTAATAATGTAGTAATAATAGTTGCATATTATACCCTGGCACTGGCACAAATTACTGCATGATGAACTTTGTGTCTAAAAACTTTTGTTCTTTCATTCAAGTCTAATTTTGAAAAGGGAGTTTTACTTGTAATGGAGTATTCTGACTTTTACTGAAGTAAATGACCTGAACAGTGTTTCCTCACTGACATGCAATAACCACTATCAAAAAGATAAGCCGAATAGGAAAAGCATAAAACACATCAGCCACCTGGAGTAAGGGTTGCCGCGGCCTTCTTGCTGCTGCGTTGAGGAACCCGCTCCGCCTCCTCAACAGACTCCTCACTCCTCCTCTGTTTGGAGCTTTGATCTGACATGAAGTCATGCAACAGATATGACAAATCAACAAGTTGAGGCCATCGTGGTGAGACTTTAGCGCTTCGAATGTGAGTCACACGGACAGATATTACTGGACTTAATAACTGAAATGCGAAAATAGATTATGACGAACTACATCTAAACATTTCACTGCCACATATTTCTAAAATCAAAGATCTCTGAATATAGGTGACGTAGCATATATAGCACACAGTATGCTGTTTGTATGTAATACAGATCTACTGCCACCCAGTGGCATTATGAAAAATATATTGCTGAAATGTATGGATGCACTATGAAAAAATCTATCAGAAAATCAGAATACAGATGGTGTATTTCATATTCTTTTCTCATTACTTCCCTCTCCTTCCAGAAGCACAGCTCTTATCTTTTTACCTTTGTGCTCGAGGGACTCTACTGGTTGATCTGTTTGATGCCCCGAGGGATCTGTAGATGTGGAGGCACTGGACTCTTCGTCAGCCATGCCAGCGCTCTGTTCCTCATCACTATATTTCTCTGCTGCCTCGTCCTCTTCTTCTTCCTCTTCCCCGCCAGGCGGAAGTTCTTTCATGTTGAAGAGCTCTGCGGGCAGGTTGGGCCGCTTCGGAGGCAACTTCTGCAAGGAGAGAAGGAAACGTCAGTGGCAGGTAATGGAGGTGAAAAAAGGCGATGGTTATTTCAGACGGCGAGGGCGCTTACCCCGATTGTACCAGTTTTCAGTTTGAATTTGCTCCCTCCCTTCATGGCTCCAAACAGTGGCAAGGTCTTTTTAGGCTTCTCTGAATCCGAGCTGCTACCATCACACCAACACACAACAACATAGCATTAAGTGTGGCCCACTAGATTTTACATTAAAAGTCTCAAACATGAAATCTAAGCACATGAACATGGTTATTCCTATTAGTTTTTCTTCACATAGCCTAGTAAATGTCACAGATTTTCAGTACACAAAACTACACAAATAAATTTAGATTTTAGGGAGAAACCAGAACATTCTTTAGTTACTGTTGTTAATGTCTAACCTAGGCAGCAGTGAGGGCATCTGCGCTGGCCGTGTGAGTTCAACTAGTTTGCGGAGCCTCTGAGCATCTTTGCGTAAGTCTGCCACGTGCACGTGAAGCTTCCTGCGCTCCACGCCGTCCATCGCTGCCTCGCTTCTCACCGCGGTCATGAAGGCGTCCAGAGAGTCCTCAGCGGAAGAGGACGAAGAGTCTGAGAGAAGGAAAGACTGAAGGTTTACATACACAAGGCAGAGACTGCACGTTTTAAACAGTGTGTCATCTGTTTGGTGAGTGAACACACGTGTGATTATGACTCACCTCCTTTAGCAGCACCCAGCTTTTTCTGAGTCTCTGCCAGCTCCTTCTCCACCTCCGACAGCTTGGCCACCTACACAATAGAACCAACAGTATGGACAGGTAAGCAGGAGTATAGAAGGCTCTTAAAGCGAAATTATTCTTCTCTTTTGAGCACCTTAAACAAAAGACATTCAAGAAAGTCAAAACAGCTGATTTATGGAATCGGTCTGAGACTCCCTAATTAGAAACAGCTCAAAACATTTTGTTCACTAGTGAACTTTTGCTCTTTTTAAGTGAAACAGTCGGCCATTGTGTCGGCAAAAATGAATGCGTATGTTTATTTTTAACTTGCATAAAAATGTACCCTCTTCAGAAACTTATTACAAATAATAAAAAGCTGACAATTAAGCTTGTTTATCTTCAATGAATTTTCTGAAATTCAAGTAAAAAGTAATTTATCCCAGTTGGAGAAAAAAATGGAGATTATGATCGATTTTTTTTTTTTGCCTTTATTAGATAGGACAGTTGAAAGAGAGACAGGAAAGTGGGGGAGGAGAATGGGGGAAGGGGTTGCAGCAAAGGGCCATGAGTGGGACTCGAATCCATGGCTGCTGCATCGGAGACTACAGCCCCTGTACATGGGTCCCCAGCCCAACCAGGTGAGCTATCGCGGTGGCCCGAATTTGAGTTTCTTTTACTTTTCTAGGCCTATGCTTGATCCATGTCTAGCAAACTGGCTGATTGTCTTTTTACTGTTTTATGATGAATCCAGCTTTGGACTTTGCAGCCATGTGGCTAAAACTGCACTTAAATGGGGCTTTAAAATAAGGTGCTGAGATACTGAACATTCAGTTACATTTAAAGACCAACATTATCACACTTGGTTTCCTGTCAACTAGAGCTCAAGAAAGATTGAAGATCTAGAAGACAATCAAAGAAAAAAAGCTTCTGAGTGTTTCTGCTGGTTGATCTTATTATCTTTAGGGGGGAAAAAATAGGATTTCATCTGCTTTTAAACCTATTATATTGTGACCTTTTGAAGTTCTCTTTTGGCAGTGGTAAAGGAAATTAATCCTATTAAGCACAACAGTCAGTTATACTTATTTAAAGGGAAGTTCTTAATTTGTCTTTCTGAGGTTTTTATTCTATCATTCAGCCCGTGGACAGAATTTTTTCATTGCAGACAATTTGGGTTAAAAAAAAAAACCTACACAGGAGGTATCAGCAACAATTATGGCTTAGTCCAATTCAATGTCTCAATAAGCCAAGACACTGAAGCAGCATGCACGATAGCAGGACCCTTCAGCACTATTCAGACCCTTCATTTCATAGTTTGTAGCCACTTTAGCTGCAGATGCAACTTCTCTACAGGCTTTGCAAATCTGAATCTGAGCTTTTCATTCCATTCTTGTTGGCAGATCCCGTCAAGTTCTTCCATATTGGATGGAAAGTATCTGTGAGCTGAAATCTTCATGTTTCTCCACAGATGTTCAGTGAGCTTTAGGTCTGAGCTTTGGCTGGGCCACTTAAGGATAGTCTGACATTTGTTCTGAAGCCACTGAAGTGTTGTCTTGGATGTTTGCTTTGGCTCATTACGGTGCTGAAAGGTGAACCATCAACCCAGAAACACTTTGTGTCTCAGTTGTTGCCCTGACATGCAGTCTCAAATGTCTGACCTTCATATACACAGGTGTGTGTCTTTCTAAACTATTTCCAGTGGATTCTGTTTGCCACAGATGGACTCAAATAAAGCTCTAGACACATCTCAGGATAATTAAGGTACACAGGATGCACCTGACCACATCTGTCAAAGCAAAGCCTCTGAATACCTCAGTTAAAGAGAGATGTTTTCACTTTGACCTGATTGGTTGTTGAGTGCATATTGATGTATCTATTTAAAATGAAGCAACTAATTAAGGAATCCACCTGTTTCTCATGATTGTGCTCACAGCTTGATAGGAAACACAGAGTTAAACAAGTAGGTCATTAGCCAGCTTTGTGACTGCACCTGCATAAAGAGTCTAAAGCAGGGCTGAACACTAAATTCATTTCAAAACAAAATTGTGATTTGAAACAATAAAATAATCAAATCACAAAGGCTGCATACATTATGCCGTTAGACTGACCGAGGGTTTAAACTGTCATGGTCGTGGTTTTGCACACTGATGCCGTCGTCTTTGTGTGACAGTATCTCATGTGGTAATGCTCCATCATGTTTTAAACCGATTACACAGTGAATACTGATCTGAAGCTTCACCTTACAAAATTAGATCACAAATGAAAAGCAATCACAAAATCTGTCTGAAAAAAATCACATATTTCCCCCAAATTGTTCAGCCCTAATTTAAAGTCAGTGATAAATGAATGCTGTTCCTCTAATGAATACATGTATTACCATAAGCCAGCAGTTTGTAAAACCGTAGAAAATATTTACCAGTGATTCATAGGTCTCAGGCCTCTCCTCAATCTTTCCCGCCTTTTTCATTCTCTCCTGCCTCTTCCTCTCCACAGTGCCGGTTCGATCCAGGAAGGTGTCGTCATCACTGTCGTAGTAGTCCTCATCTTCCCAGTTCTTCTTTTTGCGCTTACGGGACACTGAAAAGAAGACGCAAATCACTTACAGCATTTTCCATAACAAGTTCTAACCTTCTCCACATGGTTCCACTCTATAATCTCCTCCCTGTGACTCAGTGCACACCTGCTTCCTGGCGCAGCAGCCCTCTGGCCTCCAGCATCCGACAGGCCTCCAGGCAGCACTGGATGGCTGCCTCTTTCTTCTTCCCTGTGTGGGTCACCTCCGCAACCAGCTGACGGCCCAAGGCATCGTCCACCGGCAGCCTGACACAGAAACAACATGAACTCTGCAGCACGCACTTTGTAATCCATCTGAAAGAAGGAAAGCTCCCATAAAGCGGGGGTTTCATGTCACCTACTTTATTCTGCAAAGCCAGGAGCCATGGCTTTTGTCTTCATACTCGAACTCCAGCTCCTCCCCTGAGAAAAAAAGATGCCCAAGTGGAAGTCAAGAAATTCAAGAACAACAACAAACAAAGAGCAGGACGAGCCATCTGTAGTTTAACAATGCGTCTTCTCACCTTCTCTGTCGTAGAAGCCCTGCAAGGCCTTCTTGGGGTCCTTCAGGTAGGCTGCTTCCTGATCTTCGTGAAACTCTGTTGAAAAAGGGTTTTCCTCGTTCTCGTCTTCCTCTGGAGCCGCCTCCTCAGCTGCAGGGTGGATTTATGGAGACAGATGGAGTGAAAGGAAAGGAGAGAACAGAGGGATCAACTTGCTTCTTAAGTTACTCGCTTTCAGAGAAAGTTGACTCCAGCTCACAACACAGCAATATGTCAGCACAGTGACGCTTATCATCCTGTAGCTTCATCCTACCAGCTCCCAGGACATCAGTAACAATCACATCTGTCACAGTGCAGCAGCTCACCCATTCCCCACGAACAGCCTGAGTCTTCGTTTGAAACTTTGCTCTGGCCCTTGTTGTTCTCTCCTTCTCCACCCTCCTCCTGCTTCTTCTCATCATCGTCGTCGTCATCGTCAGAGCCATCTCCCATCATCCTCTTCTCCAGCTCTGCTTTCTGTTTGCGGGCACGCTCTCTCAGCTCCGTCACCGTCAGCTCAGACTCCTCTTCCTCGTCAAACTCTGGACCCTGTGGAAGGAGACAGAAGTTGAAGAGTTAATATGTTTTGATGAACACCCCGAGGCTACCAGACTGCTACTGGCACTGAAGTCGACCTAAAACACCAAGTACGGGTTAGATGTGACAAATCAATAACAGGTTCTTCTTCAACGTCATTATATAGGTCTGTTGATGCTGCTATCAGTTACACTGACTTTGTTTACATGTGCACAAGTATCCTGGTCTTGAGTCTTATCCTGTTTTAATCATACCGGGGACCTGGTGTTTACATAACAGTGTAACAGCACCAGGCTTCTGATCGTCTGCCTGCAGGACTGGTTTTATTTTTTTTAAATTAGTCATATCACGCTGGCATCACTGCAGTTATGATTCATGGTAAAACTTGAGTGAATCATTCCAGCAGTCCTCGCTCTCACAAAACAAAGAAATAAATGAATAAATTTGGACATTCAAGAAATCTTAACAATGAATCAAAAATCTGTGCTGCACAGAGAAGCAGAACCATACAGAAAATTCTGTCAAATATTGACACAGATTGTACTTTAAGAGACAACTGATACCCACACGTGTGTGCACTATGCCTTTTGCTGTTGTAACACTTCAAATTGCTCTGCTATGGAAATTGTAAAGGTATCTTATTTAAATTAAAAACAAACTTAAAGAGCAGGAGGAAGGGGGGAACTTTACATCACAGCAAAAACCAATCGTACTATTCAAAAGGTTTTTTCTAATCTAAAAAACCCCCCAAAACAAACGATAATCCAAATCTAAATGACTTGAACGATTGATCTGTCAAATAATTATTATGCTGATTGCTGATAAAGTTTAGTAAGTCTAAGGATAATGGCATCAGGAAATGTTTACAGAAAAAAGCTTTGTATCAAACTCCTCTTTAAATTACTGGGAGAAAAGATTTAAGAAAGCAGAGCCAAAGAGAAGTTTTGGCTGATTGCCAACGCCGATGTACGCACACATTTTTCTGCCTAATTGCAGAGAACATCAGGTCTCTCCTGTAGTGGAATTAACATATTGCTATGCCTGCTCTTGTCATGATGACCCACTGGCAGGTGCAGACATAAAACCCAATGCTTTTCAAATGTACACATTGACTGGAAAGAAGTGGAAAATCTCTCAACGTACACATAAAACATGCCACATTTATTTTCATGAAACACTCTCACACATAACTAATCTTTAGCCTGCCAGGCATTATCTGTCCATTAATGTTCACTTTGGGCCAATGCCAATATTTTACTATAAAGCCTGACAACATGCACTGATGATACAGTGCATCCATAATGAGCAGTTGCTGGGTTACACATGTCTCCTGTGCTCACTGATGAAGACCTGGGAGGACTGCAAAAATTCCAAGACATTTTCGGGTCCATTGCGCGGAAACTACTCGTTTTCTTCTTGTCCTGCACCTAATTGAAACACAGTATGGTATGTGCACACACTGTCCCTACTGATTGTGTCTTGTCTTATTCACCATCTCAGCCGCCGTGTTCTCTACTCATAAATAATGTTCAGAAGCCTGGATACTGTGTTTTGCATACCATAGCATCCTGGTTTCTATCAGCATACTCCAGGTATCATATCGAGGGTACATAAAACTGGAATGATGCTTGCATAATCAAAAATCCTGATCATAACCAGGCTACTCCTGATGCTTAATACTGCCTTCATTTATCTCTGAATGGGGCTGCAGTTGGTTAGCACTGTTGCCTCGCAGCAAGAAGGTTGCCGGTTCGCTTCCCCGTGGGGGCACTGGAATCTTTCTGTGTGGAGTTTGCATGTTCTCCCCGTGCAGCGTGGGTTCTCTCCGGGTTCTCCGGCTTCCTCCCACACAGTCCAAAAACATGTTGAGGTTAATTGGTGATTCTAAATTGTCTGTAGGTGTGAATGTGAGTGTGCTTGGTTGTCTGTCTGTAAGTGTGGCCCTGTGATAGACTGGTGACCTGTCCAGGGTGTCCCCTGCCTTCACCCTGAGTCAGCTGGGATAGACTCCAGCCCCCCACAACCCTAGTGAGGATTAAGTGGTGTATAGATAATGAATGGATGGATGGATGGTCCTGGACTTGAACGTAAATATGTTAAAATATGTTTAAATATGTTTTACTTTTGATGACAATGTGGTCTGATTTGGTATGTGCTTCCTTTGAGTAGTTTTCCCACTCTCACAGTGCTTACTCATACTCATTTTTCTGTGTGAACAAAAACTGAACATCGACATCGGTAATATCAGTTATCTGCGATATCAGAAATCTTAATATCGGTATCGGCCAGAAATTTTAATATCGTGCATCACTCGTCTTAATGTCAACTTATGAAAACTAATTGTAAGGGCATTTCTTTTACTGCCTTCTCGCACAGACAAAATAGTTAACCCAATCTCAAGAAAATCAAATATCTAGAAAATAATAACGGCTTAAAAGATAACTGTTGGTTGCAGCTCTAGGAGATCTGTAATGGCTTTCAGAGACAAGAGAGAAACTACTGCTGTAAAGTTCTATAAATATGTTATAAAAGATCAGAAAAAAACAGGAAAGGTCTGGGTTTCAAACAGTTAATTTAAAATCAGGATACTTTAAAACCTTGTCACCCATGATCATGCACTGCTTTAATGTGGGGATGCTGTAGGGCTTTACCTGCAGGATAAAAAGCCTCGTGCTCCCACCAAACTTCAACACATGTCCAACACGCAGTCTGATGTAGGTCTTGGGGGGGATCTTGTTCTTGTTCACCACGGTGCCATGTGTGCTGCCCAGGTCGTGGATGTAAAAGCCTCTCTCCTCTCCTACACACTCCCCCTCCCCGGTCTGTCCGCGGTACTGGATCACTGCGTGGTACCTGGAGATGGACGGATGCTCCAGGGACACGTCGCACACAGGTAAGCGTCCGACCACGAAGTAGCTGCTGTGAGTCAGGGGCACCTTGTCCACTATGGTGCCGTTTTTGAGGATTTCAAGAGAGTACGGGACATCCGAAGCGGTGCCACCCCAGTGCGGCTCCGTGTACGGCAGAGGAGGGAACTTACCAGCTGGGGGGCCTTTAGCAGGGAGCACCCTCGGTTTCGCCTCTGGTTTGGCTTTGACAGGAGCTACCTTCTTGTCCTTTTCGTCTTTTTTATCCTCTTCTTTGTCTTTCTCTGAAGTTTTGTTGTCAGTAGCAGAGGTCTCACTTGCCGTGTCTACAACCTGAGCTTTGTTATCTTCTGTCACGCTGCTTGTTTCAGCTTCTGGTGGTTTGGACGGAGCAGCGACGTTACTGCGTTTGAAGAGGAGGGAAGGCACCGCGAACAGAGCCGGTTTCTTAAACGGTTCTTCCGTTTCTGCTTCAGTTTTAACCGAGTCATTATTTTCAGGCTCGGCTCCATTCTCTGTGGCCGAACACTCCTCGGTTTCCATCGCACAGCGCGTTTCTTCGTCTGTGTTTCTCACGCTCACGTCTGTTGGCGGGGGGGCGGCCATGTTTATTTGGTGCGACTCTAAAATGTGCCCGGGTCCTCTAAGCCTTTAACAACTCGTAAAAACAACTAATAAAGAATATAGTCCAAGAAAGAAACTGTAGAAAAATAAGTCTTGAAAAACTACATGAAATATTGCTAGAAATTTTAGATTTCTGCCAGCCAAAACTAATCCTGTCTTGCGGAACTAAACATTTTGTTCGGCAGTTCACCCGATTTATTTTTAACAAAGGACTAAAACGCTTACTTCCTGTTCAGCTTCCAGCAAAACTGCAGAGGCTCCAGTTGTTGTTAGACATTTCGTCCAGCACTTGGTAACTGTCGTGTTGTTAATATATATATTACTTAATTTAACAAGCTAAACGTGCATGCTACGTACTTAGCTAGCTAGCCTGTAGCTTGGTTGCTGCTCGTGAGTGAGTGAGAGTGTTTGCTGATGCGTTCTTGTTTGCAGCACAGAAGTCCAGTCAGACACCGAACATGTTGTGTGTTATCTTGTTATTTGACAAACTAGCACTCCTTTTAAACCTCAGCTTTAGAACTTTTGCAAATTAATCCAATTTGCTCTTTAATTCGGCGTGCATATGATACTCTAAATAGCCCCTTCTTTATTTCTTTGTGTTGTTACTTTTGAATTGCCAGCTGTTCCCACCGCCTAGTTACATACGAGCCAACTGAGTGCACGTTTTTTATTTTTTTCCTTTTGTCTTATAGTCGATCAGATGTTTGCCGAAATGATAATGGGACACTAATGGCGTTGTAGCAGATCTTTTAAACGAGATCATTAGGTTTGTGTGCATTTGGAATGCAGTTGGTATTAAATTTTGCGAGGATTCATCAGTATTTCGCGTAATGTGCTCTGAAATATTTGTGAATGTTCTACAAGGAAACTGGTTTAGTTAATATTTGACAGGCAAATATAAGAGATGACATATGAGAGACATCTGGGCATTAAGAACTTGTTTGGCTGTGCAGAATGTTTGATCTGTTTAAATGACTAACATCAAAGTTTATTTGCCTTGTGTTTATTTACGCTGCTTTCTCTCTCTCTGTCCAATTTTAGCCTCAGTTAAAGATCCAGCTCGACTTTGATCAGCCACTATGATGCGTTACTGGGGTGAGATCCCTGGACCTGCAGGGGCTCCTCCCAGTCGCAGCTCATTTGACTTGCTCCAACGTGAGTTTCGCTCTGTGGAGATGCAGGACCCTCCGCTGCACCAGCCCTCGGCCCAGCGTCCGCGGCCCACCACGATGCTGGACATCCCCTCAGAGCCGTGCAGCCTCACCATCCACACGGTGCAGCTGTGCCAGCATGCCCGTCGCCTTCGAGGGCTTTTGGCAGCGGCCCAGGCCCAGGCTCAGGGTCAGAGCTCAGCGTCCTCTGAGGGTGGCAGCAGGCTGGAGGAGGCTGATACCAACCTGCCCCTTCGTCCTCCCACCCCACCTGTCATGCCAGATGATCTGCTTCCCGTGGACAGCAAAGCTCCCAGGCAGCCCTTTCAGCTCCGCCACAGTGACCCTGAAAGTGACTTCTATAAGTAAGTTCAGATTGCGTTCCTCTTTTGTAATGTAATGCCATCTACAATATATTTGCTGAGGCTTCCAAATCATGTGCTTACTCACAGTTTCGATGTAATTATTTGTAATTTATTTATTATATATCCACCAGTTCACAGATATAATCTCAGTCTATTAATGATCCACTCATCATTAATCTCCTTAAATCTTGGTTCTATCATAAGGGGTAAAGGGGAACCTGTCACAGAGCTGAGTTGGCCCTCCTGCCGGCAGCTCCTTTATCAGTCAGTCGCCACCGTCCTGGCCCATGCCGGCTTCGAGTCTGCTCAGGAGAGTGTGCTGGAGACCCTGACTGACCTGGTCCATGAGCATTACCTGCGTCTCACCCGCCTGCTGCGGGTGGCGGTGGACCGGGAGGCTCGGCTGGGAGCCAGTCCCTTCCCAGATGTGGTGGAGCAAGTGTTCCATGAGGTGGGCATCGGCAGCGTACTTGCCCTGCAACGCTTTTGGCAAGTGAGGATCAAAGACTACCACAGCTACATGTTGCAGGTGAGACTGTGAAAGTGGGTGATGCGTGTTGTTCGGCTTTTGCTATTTGACAATATGTAGTGAGACGATATAGATTTATCAGCCTCCAGAGATCTGCTCCATGTATCTACCTCTTTATTGTCTCTGGTTATTTCAGGTCAGCTATCTGAGAGTCTTCATGACATTTCTCTCATTGATTTACTTCTGAAATTTTATATTTTATTACCGAAAAAATTCTCAAAAATCTTTATAACGGATTTATTTTTAATGTGGTCATTATTAGTATTACAGCATCCAGGTTCAGTTCTCAAACTACTTAGCCCAAAAATAAGACTTTGTTTTTTTTTTGTCGTTGATTTTTGTCATTCAGGTCAGTAAGGATCTGTCGGAGGAATATGAGCGACTGGTGAATCCAGAGAAAGCGCTGGAGGACTCCAAGCCCCCGAGGATCAAGGAGGAGCCCATGAGTGACATCTCCTTCCCTGTTAGCGAGGAGCCGGAGGCCGACCTGGCCTCTGGCGACCAGGCTTTGCCTATGGGGGTCCTCGGGGCCCATGCTGAGAGGCTGGCTTCAGGACTGGATGGTGACCATTCTCCTCATGCCTCAGGTGAGACTGACATTCCTGATCAAATGTCTGGTGTACTCTGCTTTCAGGAAGTGTTTTCTACAGCAGAGACTGATGTGTGGAAACTTTCTAGTTTAGACCTTCAATTCTGAATGCAGTTTGTGGCCACAGGAGGAAGTTAAAGATCTTGCCTGTAGCAAAAGAACATCAGAAAATCATGAAATGTGTCTAACTAGACAGCATCCTAATGCATTTTTACTATTTTACTACATTATCCATCATGTCTTCACTCAATATTCTGCTGCAGACTAAATGATATACAGTAATTTAGTAACTAGTGCAGTGTGTATTTTACTTTTTTTTTTAGAAACAAACATCATAGCATAGCGTTTCACCTTGATAGATGCATGCACTATGCAATCAGCTAATTAGCTATGACATAGAAGATTATGATATTTTCAGACATACACATATTTGCTCTCTTTTTAAGAGTCATATTAAAAGAATAACTACCACTCCCAAGTCTTGAACTCTAAATATTAAGCTATAGCCAGGAGACAGTGAGTTTAGCTTGACATAAAGACTAAAGAAGGGGAACAAGCTAGCATAGGTATGTCCAAAGGTAAGAATCATTGCCTATTGCATCTCTAACAACTATCCTTATTATTATCTAATTAACACACTAAGTGTTGTTGGTTATCTGGACACGAAGCAAGTCGTAAAACCAGCACGTTTTGCAGCCAAGGAGCCAAGGGGTGGCCATCGCCAACCCTCGGGCAAACCTGACCCCATGCAAGTAATAAGAAGCCCATTACAGGGCTGGACACGTACTCATAGAACTGGAGTGGTATCCTAGCACTAATGTAATTTTAATTGTAATATCAACAATTAAAAAGTCATTCTTGGAACAGCTGTTCCTGATGTTTTTTTGTTTTTTTTAAATCAATTGAGAGTTACATGGAAAAGCTCGTGAGTCCTCATTAAGACTAAGCAATTAAACGATTTCCCATTAAAATCCCAATCTGAAACAATGCAGTTTGCAAATCACCAAGGCTGCACTTTAGGATATACAATGTGCAGCGCATCTGACCCAGGGTTTATATTTTATGATTAGAACTTAATTTCACTGATTGCATAAGGTGCAGTCGTGGTTACTAGATGCTGCTATGGGCCATAAATGACCTACTGGAATAATTTAATTAATATTAATGTTGCTTTACTTATTTAGCTTAACACAGTCACAGCTTGTGTTTTAATTGGTTTGTCACCTATGCTATTTTCTGAAATGTAATAACTACATGTTTGAAGTAATTCCTATTTTTAAGTTTACATCATTGCATTTGAATATAAAGCGGTTATTTTATTCCATCTCATGTGGTAAAGATCCATCATGTTTTGAATCTATTGCACAATAAATCTTGAACTGAAGTTTTTATAAAATGAATCGCAAATCCCATTTTTTGTCAGAAATTGAAATTAGATATTTTCAGCAGATTGTTCAGCCCTAGTCCTCATAGTTCTACATGCCAGTCATGGCTGCCTAAGCAGGTGATCAAAGCAAGCAACCAAAGCAATTGGCTATTTGGTCTATAGTAATATGCCACAACAGAAAAAAATTAACAAGATATCAGCTTCTGTGCCACTCCAGCGTCCCAGCCTGGCCACTACTATAAAAAATTTCCCAGCTTCGTCCGTTTCTTCTTTAAATAAAAGCTCCAGCAGTCCAGGAAACCAGAGGGAGCAGCAGGCGAGCCACCTGTCAGTCACAGCTGTCAATCATCGGCCACAATGGCAGACATCAAAGTCTTCTAAAAGCCTCAAATCTTATTAATGGCGCAATAGTTTCCAAAATGACCACCAGTGCACAGAGAGGGCCTAAATTTAGTCAATTAGACCAGAGTGATTTGTTGGAAAAAATGATTTATTGGTATTTCCAGAGAACAGGTGATGGTTTTCGTATAGGGGTCAAATGGAAAGGATTTATTTGGGTCAGTGTCAATCATCACATATAAAAGAGAGAGGAAAAGGGATGACATGCAGCACAAAGGGACCGGGCTAGACTCTCTGCTGGCTGAGTGTCCTGTAGCTGATGCTTTAAGGGTATTGATTCTATACATTAGGACCTATGGATGCTTCTTAATTCCTTAAATCTTGGTCTGAATATAACTTCAAAAGAAGACTCACAGCCTGAAAACTCCCACTTTTACTCCCTACCTTACAATGTAGCCTGAAGAGAATGACTCCTTTAGTTTCAGACATGTCCTGCACTCTCTACTGTCTGTTGCTGTGTTTCAATAGTTTAGCAGCTGTTAGAAAGAAGAGTTGCAACTCCACTATCTTTTTCCCTTTTCATTACTCCAAGGGCATCATTTTTAACTAAATTACTTTTCACAAGAGTTCTTATCAAACCCCTAAATTAGATTGAGACTTGAAGAAGTACACAATAATGGCAGCCACACAAGTTTTTAGATATTTTCTTTGCAGCGCACTGTGCTTTCTTATTCTGGTTTATTCATATCTATTTTAAACTCAGGAAGAAAATAGATGTTGTCGTGTGGTTTTTGTTACTTTGTGCCTGGCTTGATCTTTCATTTAATCAGCATGTTGACAATGAGGTTCTTGGTTACGATGACTTGCTATGCATGAATGTAGCAGCACGGTGTTTTCACATGTTGGACTGTAGCGTGTTGATTTGTCATCACCTTAAAGCTTGTGACTGGGTTCTGTACTATACAGCTGCTTGGTCCTCTCTCTCTGTATTGAGTCACTGGTAGGAACTCATATATATTATAAAGCTATTCTCGAGTCAGTGTCGCTGTCTGGGAGGATTTATTTGACGGGACTGTGGGGTTCCATCCCACATAAAAAGGTTGGGAAGCACTGCCCCGGTGTACAGACAGACATCGGAAAGAGAGCCTTCAGATTTTTTTTGTCATTTCTGCAGAGGGAAATGAAATTAAACTACTTGGCATCTCACAGTGGATTTACGGCAATTGTAAACTCTGTCATAAGACATTTATTTTGAAATTCTTAGCTTATTTGAGCCTTTATTAGTATTGTTTTCTGTGTGTGCCTAATATTGTATAATATAAGTTTGTAGTGCTGCCATCCTGGCATCCTTTAGGCTGCAGGAGATGCACCAAAAATAAAACTACTGAGGAGCTGGAGGAGCCTCTGTTCATGTCAAAGCCAGTGAGTGATTTAGTTACTGATAGGCTGGTGGTAAATGAGAGACTCGATGTCTTCCTTATCACCCTGTGAGACAAGTCACCCACTCACTGAGCTCAGCCATTCATTCAGCAAGTCACTCACATGCTGCAGCCTATTGGATATGTAAATGACTTGACTGTAGCTTACCTGGGCTAGCTACTGGCTCTCCTCGGCTTGTCATATGCACATGGAAACACTTCTTTTTTTCTATTAAGAATTACAGTCTCATAATTTCCACATTGCTAGAATAAAAACTGATGGGCTCACAAGTACAGCTACTCAGTTGTACTCTTTGTATTATCGCTAAGTCACTTGCTGGCTTTGACATAGACTTTAGTTCCTCCAGCCTCTCCGTGGTCTCATATTTGGCATACTCCCCCTGCACAAGCATACGGTCTCGAGTTAAAGAGAGATTGCAAACCTCAATGAGACTAATGAGGTTTAATNCTGGGCATGTGTAGCAGGTCAGGACGCACAAAAAAGTCAGTCAATACCAAGCCCTAAACCCAACAGGAAGTCCGTTATGTTGAAAAACCCTGGTGACAGTTTTGGCGCATTTGGCTGACTTTTGCCCATTTTTGACAATTTTCAAAAATCTATCTCCTCCTACAGGGAAGGTCGTACACACCTGAAATTTGGCCAGCACAAACTACAGGAGGTGGTGATTACACGTTAGTAAAACGGTCCACACAAGTGTGACGGCGTGGAAATGGCGCCCCCCTGAATTTGGCCACAACGCCATAAAACCCCAGAATACGAGACGTGCTGTGTCTGTGCTTTAGGGACAAAGAAGTGCTCAGGCTTGTTTGTATTCATTTACACCAGTCACAGTCATCTGGGGTGGAGCTCAGCAATGGATCCAATAAACACTTACAAAGGAAAATTAGTGGAACCTTTGGAGGCAGGGAGGTGAACATTGTCATTAAAGTGGATTAATAGCAGAGGCTGCAACACATAATTGTCCAAATGTTGAAAAAACTTGAAGTTTGCTCTGTGGTAGGTTGCTGCTTGTTGGTTGTTGTAGGTTGTTGTGTCCCATACTGAAGAGGATTTTTAAAATGGTACCACGTAGTTAGCAGAAGGAGAGGAGAAAGACATGTGAAATGTTTGGTGAGTTGCAGGTATGTACCTGCAGCTTACATCCAGTGAGTCAGACGACTATTTTAGATCCTACTTATGTAACACACACACGTGCAAAGCGGAGCGCAACGGTCAGCTTTAACCTGAAAACACATCAACATTCTGTTTCTCTGCAAATGACTAAATATATAACTGATTATGAAAAAATAATTAAAATAGGAATAACCAATTATACATAATGATTAAATATAAACAAATAATAACCCATGAACTTACAGCTGAGTTTGCTTTACACTACTTGCATGACTTATTTGTAGTAACTGCATCAGAAACAAGGAGGTGTATGCACATTAAAGAGGCAGAACATACAACTAGTTTTAATAATTTCTGTTTCATGGATCATCAAGGGTTGCAAGGTGGGGCGGTGGTTAGCACCGTTGCCTCGCAGCTAGAAGGTTGCCGGTTCGCATCCTGGTGAGGACACCCGGCACCTTTCTGCGTGGAGTTTGCATGTTCTCCCCGTGCAGCTGGGTTCTCTCCGGGTTCTCCAGCTTCCTCCCACACAGTCCAAAAACATGTTGAGGTTAATTGGTGATTCTAAATTGTCCGTAGGTGTGAATGTGAGNCCCCTGCACAAGCATACGGTCTCGAGTTAAAGAAAGATTGCAAACCTCAATGAGACTAATGAGGTTTAATGAAGCTTATTAGATAAATTTTTTGTGTTTGAGGATCACAATTATAGTTTTCTTTTTAATTTCACCCCTTTCTCAAGGAGGAGGCGGCGCCAACAACTCCCCTCTGTGGCCTCAGGTGAAAATGGAACCCCAGGATGGCGACGAGGGCCAGGGAGCCGGCCACCACCACCACCATCACCACCACCACCACGGCGTCCTGGGCGGAGACGTGTTCGAGGAAGGGGGGCCCATGTCCACCATGAGCGAGTCCGGAGGAGCCATGGCGCCCTCACCGGGAGGGGCGGCGTCTGAAGCCAGCTACGCCTCACATTCACCCGACTCCCTGATGGGGACCTCGCCCGTCTTCAACCAGAGACCCAAGAAAAGGGCAAAGAAGATGTGACGCTGCGTTTGTGGACGCAAGAAGCTCGGAGGAACTGACTCTGAACCCAGCAGCAGGTCTTCCACATTAGTTATCATTTAATTAAAAAAACACACAAGGTTCTGAGCTTGTGGTAAAACAGCTGTAAAGTGTTAACTGACATTCAACGCTAATGTCATGAGAGAACTGAACTGAAGGGGGGGAGGGAGGTATTTTGTAGTTTTTCATGTTGTGTATGTTTGTTTCTATGAGTATAGTTTCTCTTAAATATCTGTTATTTGCTACTAAATATATTATAGGCGTCAAGAGAATAAACATCTTCTGAAGCACCAGTTGTTAAGGAGTGTTTTTTTTTTTCAGAAAATCTACAAGAACTCTTACAATTAGCCTAATGAGTTGAAGAACAGGAAAAAACTGAGAAGTCCAAAAGCAAATAATTTAACTAAACAGCTTAATATTTCAGCAGCATGGTTTGTTTTCCCAAGCTATTAGAGCTCTTTCTCCTCACGTACCAATTACTGCCACTTCCATTCATTATGATTAGAAGATGCTCCAACAAAAAGAGAAAATCTTTTTTTTTTTTTTTTTTTTTTCCTCGCGAGCATGCCGCTGCATATTATGATGTATTTTCCACTCCTTGATTCCCCTCTTGCAGTCCGCTTTACATGTAACTCTACACAGATCTGCGCACACTTCACACACACCTGTCAACCTGAGGCTGTTCCACTAAATTAGCATCTGTTTCAGTAATGAGGCAAAGCTGTGAATGCAACACCAGAGGCAATTATGGCTTCGTTGTCTGCATGGCGAAGGCGACATCAATCCAGCCTTAATGGCAAATTAATTACGGCATGCATAATTTTGCATGCTCGATAAGCAGGCCTGTTTGAATACATGTGATTTTCTTTTGTGCGCGCCTCTTTCATTTTCACAATTAGGCAGCTAATTGTCTACGCCTATGGGAAGTGCTGATGGGGGGTCATATGTATTGACTCTCAGTTAACTACACTGATAGTTGATTTATGTTATAGTGCATCTTAAAATGTGTCTGATTGAAAACATAATCAGGGTTCTAGACGTATGAGTAAAAAGGCTCCCCCTGCTGATGCTAAGAGCTGTAAGAAGTGTCATCTGATTCTACCTGGAGTCCTGGGTTATTTTGTGCTTTGACAATGTGTTGGATAAACTCCACACTTGCAGCATCAGCAATGACCTCATCAAGATAGAGTCTGTGGTCACAAGACTAAATCTTGTGCGAGATGTAGCAATGACACCCAGTATTGTCTTTCAATAAACTAAAATATAAACAGTGCATTTAAATCCTACATTTTTCTTCAATATGCACTCGTATAAATAGGAATAATTTACTTACAGCCATGCTAGCAACTTTGCTCTGGGTGGCAGTGTTGGCCTCAAACACTGACGTTTCCCATCGGATGACGCAACACACTTTGAATCTCACCTCAGTAGGTCGAGGTAGATGGCCGCCCGTTCCGAGCCCATATAAATAAAGTTTTTTCTGATTATGAAAGTCTTGTACTTACTATGTGTAGTGTCCTGAGATTACTCATGTTATGAACTGCCACAATATAACTACAACTGAGCTGAAGCACTGAAATGGTCATACTTTACATTTTCCTTCAGTGGCACCATCGATCTCAGATTTTGCGGGATTTGAATTTATGATGAAATAACTTTCAGAAATAATCACATTCATGTCATCAGTTCTGCTTTGCGTTGATACTAATTAGCAGATGTTATCAAGGTAACAGACTAAACTATGTTGGTAAAGATCACAAAATGTATAGCTCGGCAAGCTAGCTTGGTCAGTGTGAGCATGTTAATATGCTGATGCTAGTGTTGAACTGAAGGATCTCAGGACTCTTTCTAATATCCAGCATTAGTGAGAAGTCCAGCAGCTGCTGTGGCTACTTCTCACCTTAAAAAAATAAAACAACAACAGGTTACTTGGTAAATTCATCTATTATAACAGAGAAAAAGGCAGAATTTGTCCAGCATCACAGAAGCAGAAGAGTGATTGCTTATTTATGACAGTGAAGAAAAAGTCCTTTTCCATTGGCTTGTCTCAAAAGGTCTGAAAAGTGTAAATTATGGTGTTCTTGACCATAATGAAACTCTGAGTTCACACTTGTCCACTCTTAAAAGGCATTCCTCATAAGTTAATCGTAGCAACTGGACTTGCTTGAGTTCCTTGAAGACGTTCCACTTCTCATCCAAGAGGCTTCATCAGTTCTGACTGACTAGTTGGGAGTTCCACATACTTATATCCTTAAGGAGCCATTAACACCGGAGTTTCGGTTTCAATTGGGGGTTTGTTGCTCCTCCCCCTCGTTATGTGAGTCGTTAGTGCTCCCCCTGCTAAAATAGTGAATGAGAGGGGAAACGTCTTCCAGGAACTCAAGCAAGTCCAGTTGCTTCGATTATTCTACGAGAATAACCACGACCTGGATGACTGAGAATCTTCACTGACATTCCTCATAAGGGCCTCGTATAATCAGACCGCTCTGCAGCACAGGATGGTCTGACTGCACTTCATTAGGGTCCGAGCACCCAATCACAATTTTCAAAATCTATCTCCTCCTACAGGGAAGGTCGTACACACCTGGAATTTGGCCAGCACAAACTACAGGAGGTGGTGATTACATGTTAGTAAAACGGTCTGCACAAGTGTGACGGCGTGGAAATGGC